ATGGTACACTATTTGCAGTCTACTTGATAGCCACAAGTCAACGTTGACTTTCAACTACGTCTGGTCTTCTGAGAGCTACACGCCTGGACTGCACCCTTCTGGCTACTCCCAGAGATCCCTTCATGACTTTCACTTCTGTGTCATCCCATTCTCACACTGAATACACACACAGAAACACAAGATGTGTTTCAGTAACACACTGAAACTGCCTGTTTCTTTCACGGAGGTGATTATGAAGATGCTGTCTCTTGTATCACACAGGGCATCCTGGGAGTTATAGGAAAGGAAGTTCCCAGAAAAGCTCTGCCTCTCCTGAATAGCTGGCTTGTTTTTGCTTTAACGATTGTGTGATTCTTGTTATCGGTAGCACAGCCCACTTCATTCTGGCTGCTGAGTAGTTCAGAGTCCAGGGGTCCCACCAGCAGAGAGTGCGCAATGCCATGGCCAGCGATGTGTATACCCAAGACATTCCTGGAGCCATCTTTTTTCCCTACACCAAGCTTTCTTCAGCATGATGGCATTGATTTTTTTTTTAATTCTATTTTACTTTACACATCTTTGCAAGGCACTTTAAACCCTCAGTTAGGGAGAGATAAGGTATGAACAAGTGAAAAGACAAATCAGACGGGTAACTGGCAGAAACAACTTGCTTTAAAATACTTTCACTTCATTTTTGTTTGTTCGTTTTGGTAATCTTGCCTCATCTGTCTTTCAATGGCTGCGTTTACAAACCAACGTTTTCCACACTGAGGTGCAGAACATGTTTTAAGGGGCCTTGATATTTTTAATTGATTAATTATTTTGGTGGGGGGAGGTAATTAAGTTTATTTATCTATTTTTGGAGGAGATGCTGGGGCTTGAACCCAGGAGCTTGTGCATGATAAGCATGTGCTCTATCGCTTGAGCTACACCCTCCCATCCAGCCTTGATATTTTTAACTTTTGATGGCTTTATTCCCATGATGGGACTTCTTCCAAATGACGCGGCATAAAGAGCTTCTACTGAGCATTTGCTAATGTTTTCCAAGAAAAACAGACCTCTAGATAGCTCCAGGGAGCACCGACAAACCTGGGCAGTGGTGAAGGTCAGCACGGCGGCGGGGGGGGGGGGAACCCGGAGCTCTGAAGTCAGGTGTGTGAGGCGCAGAAAATAGGACAAGGTCTCAGCCTCCCCCTCCGGCCACAGTGAATGAGTGTGGGCGCCTCTGGGCTTCAGGGTCCTCCTCAGAGACTTGAAGAGCGTTGCCTGGGGCTTCTGTCTGGTTAGGAGCAGAGAAAGGCAGGAAGAGCCCGGAAGCGCCCCGACCCCGACCCCACCTCCGAAAGGACAGGGAAAAGGTGGCTGAGAGGCAGGCGGAGGAGAGCTCCCCTCCACAGTTCTGTCTGTGCCAGGCGCTGGGCGGCACCTCAGTTCGACTGAAGCACAGGGACTTTCAGGGAGGAAGGTGGTGGGGAGAGTAATCCAGAGAATCTGTGAGGAAGTGGTGGGTATGTATGAGGACGGGAAATTATCCCTGTTTTTAGATCAGGCATTGCCAATCATGTTCACATATACTTTCTGTTTTTCTCTCTCTACTTCTCTCTCCCTAGTATCATTTTTTAAAGCTAGACATATCACTTTTAAACATTTACCACTGTAACCATGTTTAACTGTACAGTTCAGTGGCACCAGGGACACTCCCACTGTTGTGCAGCCATCACCAACACCCATATCCAGAGCTTTTTCCATCTGCCCAAACTGAACTCAACACCCACTAAACATCAACCCCCCAGTCTCCCTCCCCCGGCCCCCAGACACCAGAATTCTACTTTCTGTCTCTAATGAATCTGAATACTCTAGGTACCTCATAGAAGTAGAATCATACAATTTCTCCTTTTGTGCCTGGCTTATTTCACTTAGCATAATGTCTTCACGGTTCATCCAGGTTATAGAATATGTCAGAATTTCCTTCCTTTTAAGGCTGAATAATATTCCATTATATGTATACGTTCATCTTGTTTATCCATTTATCCATCAATGGCCATGTGGGTTTCCTCCTTTTGACTACGGTGAATAATGCTGCTACATTAGGTGTACAACTATCTGTTCAAGTCTCTGCTTCCAGTCCTTTGGGAAAATATATCCAAAAGTGGGGTGGCTGGGCCATAGACATATCATTTTTTTAAAAAATATTTTTAACATTCACAAAAGTGGAGAAGACAGTACAAGCAGCCCCAGGTAGTTATCACCCAGCTTCAACCATTGCTGGCCCACGGCTGATCTTGCTGCACCCACACTCTCGACTCCCTTTACCACTGGACTACTTTAAAGCAAACCTCAGATACCTATACCTTTACCTTTATAAATACTTCAGAGTCTACTTCTACTGGAAATGATCTAGATACTTTTTAGGGAGTAATGTACATTGTGAGTGCCTCACTACCCAATAACAACATGGGTAAATCCTCACTGAGCATGAATCGTTGTTTGGAACTTTGCGTGAAGTGGCAGCCTTTTAAAGAAATGTTTTATTATGAAAATTTTCAAACGTACTACAAACTGGAGAAAACTGAACAAGGAACCCCCATGTGCCCACCAGCCAGCTTCGATGACTATCAATAATAGCAAAATGGCACTTTTTAAAAATGTGGGCATAAGATTGCTCAAGTGATACTCTGACACTTGATTCTTCTAAGAACCCTTTCCACTCTGGAAAGGTTTATTCCTCAACACTGAAAGCACCTATTTTTAAGTGACTGAATCTTTGCTATAGATGCTTATAAGCATGATCCTGAGTTCTCAGCCACAGTGTGATTCGTGGTTTCTCTGAGCTCACTTGTCTCTCCTCCCTGGCCTAAATCTGGGTGACTTTCACTTTTCCCTCGAAGATGATTATTTACAGAAAGAACAAGTTGACATTTAAAGAAAGGCAATGGCTAAGAAGTTATTTTCCCTTCTATCGTAAGTACAGAAAATGTGTGGTCAAGAATTGAAGCTGTACATGTCTAATATACTTAATGTGGAATTTGTTTAATTTTAGAGGCAGATGCATTTTCTGGTTATTCTTTAAAATGACTGTATTGCTAAGCTTTTGTTGCCTAACAAATCCCCCCTCCCCAAATTTAGTGACTTAAAACAACCATCAAGAGGGAAGGATTTTCTGTTAGGTATCAAAACTTATTTTATGTCATCGATCCTAAGTTACATTTTATTATCTTTGAAATTAGGCTGCATGGATCCAGTAATCTATGACATTGTAGAATTACTCTTCACCAGGCAGGAGTCAGGACATATTTGTTGTTGCTGCTATAAAACTGAACTTGGTCATGGCTGCTCACAGTATCATCACTTCAGCTGAGTAGAGTGCACGGTTGTATGCATGTATTGAGTTAAGTGATCTTTTAAAAGATTGCACTAAAATTTAGCATGAGATTGAGAAGTTACTATGTACTTAGAAAGGTGCTGAAACAGATCAGTTGCATGGAAAATTGACATTAGTGGAGAAATGACCTTGATCAGATATGTCCTTGCAGATCTTTGCTCTATGAGACCTAAGAAAGGATTAGATCAGACTGTTATATTTTGAAACTAAGATGCATGCTAAAGAACTGCCCATCACATACCAATAAATTTCTCAAAATGGGTGTCAGAAGCTTGGCCAAAAAATCCTGTAATCAATAGTTGAGCACTCCTTTAAGAAGTGCTACATATTCAGTGCTCTTGATGGCTGATATCATTGGCTCAACAAGCTATAAATTTGTTTCTCTGAGATATAAAAGAATTCCAGAGGCAGCCTGTCCTGAATGGTTAGATAGTATCACAAAGTTATCAGTGATGTAGGTTCGTTTGATCTTGCTATTCTGCTATTTTCTGCAAGTGACTCTTGTCTCATGGTATAATATAGCTGCTTCACATCCAGATAGCACACCTGTATTCCAGGAATAAAGGAAGGAATGAAGAGGGAGCAAAGGGCAGGTGCCAGCTGACTTTTTTGAGGAGGATATGTTGTTAAAGGAAGGGAAGGAAAAGCCTGTAAAGCCTGGGTCTCCAGAAGAGAAGCACCCTTTTCCGAGTCATTCACTCTTATATACTTTTAGGCCCTGGCTGGCATCAGCAGTTACCTGAGAATCAGTGTCAGGAACCCAGGGGGTACCTCCATGTGGACGCTTTGCTAAGGGTAGACGAGAAGGCAGGGTGTTTCAACCAACCTGGTAACCATTATTCACCTAAGCTCCTACCTTTGGCCCTCCCTCCTTTTCTTGGACTTTCTCTCAGGGATGTCACAGGAAAACTAGGTCAAACATCTTGTTTGTCTCAGGAGAGCCAGCCATTTCTCCTCCCCAACACTACCACCTTTCTCTATTGCAAAATGTAATTATCCAGAGTCTTGGAAATACCTTGTATATACTCCCTTAGTGACCTGTATATAAATGTAGCAGACTGTCTTTTCCCAAAAAAGTCACAGCAGAATTTCCAGTCCCACCTCCAAGAAGAAGTATATTCTGTTTAGTCTCCCCTGGAAACAGAATGGGACCTGTGACTGCTTCAGTGACTAGGATGTGGTAGAAACAGTGATTCATGGCTTATGAGGCTAGGTCAGAGAAGGAGATACAATTTTCTCCTGGCCCCTTCTCTTGGAGGGTTTGCCTTCAGAATTGAGCTGCTACGCTGTGAGGAAGTCCAAGCCAACTCTCACAGAGATACCCCATGGGAAAGCTGAAGTGGAGGAGAACTGAGACTCCAGCCAACAGCCACCATCAATTGCTTGACGTGTGTGTGAACAAGCCTTCAGTGGTTCCAGACCCCAAGCCTTCAAGGCCTCCAGCTAAGACCCCATACATTGTGGGCAGAGACAGGCTGTCCAGCTGCACCCATCCAAATTCCTGACCCATGGAATCCATGAGCTATTTCCACCACTCACTTCTAGGATAATTTATTAGACAGCCATACTAACTAGAACAGCAAACCGAGCTTAAAACAGGAAACCTTAAAACAGGAACCTTCTAAGGTTCTTTCATTACCTTGGCATCTGCAGACTCCCACTCGTCCTGTGTCACAGTAACAATGCACTGAGACTGGAGGGGCAACCACAGGGATGGTTCTGCTGCCACAGCCAGCTCAGCCATGGGGGAGGCAAAGGAACAGAAAATGGGAAGAGACCTGCAGAAGCATAAGAATAATTGGGAATTGACTGTACAGTATATAGAATGTAACTTGCCCAACCCTGACCATTTCTAACCCTGATGTTGTGTCTACTAGGACTCTGTTTTTGGCATTGGCATTTGATAGTTCCCCTGCCCCTTTAGGAAAAAAAAAAAAACAGAGGGCAGGAGATATAGCTCAGTGGTAGAGTATGTGCTTAGCATGCACAAGGTCCTGGGTTCAATCCTCAGTACCTCCATTAAAAAAAAAGAAAGAAAGCAAGAAGAAAACTACGTGGGGAAGGGAGGTTTAAATCAGCATATCCCCCTGGATCTTAGTACTCCCAGTTTTCTGGTTTCCTTTGGGGTCTTTTTCTCATTTACACACATCTACTCCTTATCACTTCATTTGCTAAAAACAGGTGGTCTGCGTGGGAGGTAACACCAGGGAGCCGGAGTGAAGGAGAGGGGAGACTGAGACCTGAAAAGCGGAAAAACCAACAAAAGGGCACATTTCTGACGTTGGCATTTTAGATTGTGAAGCATGGTTCCGTGGCGACCTCCTGAGAAGCACACGGAAGTTCTTCCCTGTAGATAATGTTGGCTAGTGTTTGTCGGGCACTAACTGGGCTCTGTATTCCCACTCATTTAATCACCACACCATGAGGTGAGTTTTAATAACCCCCATTTACAGATGACAAAGCTGAGGCTTAAAAAGCTTAAACTGCCCAAGGCCACAGAGCTGGGCAGAGGAGGAGCCCCACCCTTCAACTTCAGTCCCTGTAACTGCCACTCTAGAGCAGCTTCTGCTGTGCAAAGAGGGCAGAGGGTTTCACTGGTTTCTCTCAGAAGCCCTTGGAAAATGCAGAATTGTCTTTTGGGCCTGAAATCAAAAGCCTCTGGGGAAAAAGTCCCCAAATGTACAATAGGAATTATCTGGCAAACTTACCCCCAGGGCTGCCAGCTGGTAGCCCAGCTGAGAAGGAACATTCTCAAGGACCCTTGCTAAGCCTCTCCAGCCCATGTTATTTGTGTGATTATGCAGCTAACAAGATTTCACAGACCCACTTGGACGGCAAAACCACAGACCGATGGCAATCCTGGAGCAAAGAACGAAAGTGAGTTTTAGGTCTTAAAGAATCCCTGGCAGGGAGCAAAGTTCCTCGTGGCCCCATCACTGTCGCCTCCTTCATCAGTCAGAGTCCTATTCTTAGTTTGAGGTATCTCAGTTGTCACCAAAGAGAACTCAACCGGCTGAATAATTACAGTGGCCCAGAATAGCTCCTCTGATGGGGGAAGAGCAAGCCGACAGGCAGGCAGGCAGGCAGGCTGCTAAATTGTTAGGTGAAACTGGGAGAGGAGGAGGGAGATTCTGTGAACTTGGCCTTCCTTTTCTCTCAGGGACAATGTCAGAACAGCCGGTTTGGTTGCAAAAACTTTGCTTTAGTGGGGGAAAAGCAAAATCAAAGTAGAGAACTATGATGCCTAGGTCCAAGAAAGAAAGTCTTTATCCATTTAATGCCTTTTATTCATTTTGCCAGATTTTAAAAATGGAAATAGCTTTGCTGACTTCTTACAAAATTAATATATTCTCATTGTGAAAAAAAAAAACAAACAAACCTGGCATACAGTCAAGTTTGGAAAGGAAGGTAAAAATCAGCAGGACTCCATTCTCCAAATCTCAGAGAGACAAACACTATTCACTTCCGGGTGGGTTTTGTTGTAGCGGTGGTATGCAAACAACTGGTATTCGCTACCCAGAGCTTTCCCCTGTTTCTCCAGGAAAAGTTCACCCAAATTCCTTTGGTGCAAATTCTCTCCCACTAGTTCCCAGGCTGGTGGTGAGAGATTGCCTCACTCTGGGCTTCCAGTTGGGTCCTTAATGGCTTAAGCTCACCACTCCAGCCCATCCCCCTGGCAGAGGAATTTGGTTCAGGAGCAGTCATGTGACCCAAGCCAGCCCAGCCCCCGTGAAGCTCGTGTCTTTTTCTGGGACGTTGAAACAAAGATGCTTTCTACCTTCCACTGGACACGGATGAGGAGACATGTAGCCCTGGGACTATTGGCAGCTATCTTGTGATCATGAGAGAAGTAACAACACAGAATGCGGAAGAGAGAGATAGAAAGAAACCTTCCCCTCTTGGAAGTTACTGAGCCTCTGAAAATCCTGCCTTTTCAGTTACAGGAATCAATACCTTACTTAATTATTATATCAGCTTTTAGTTGAGTTTTCAGTTACTAGCAGCTGGAAAAGTATTCTGCTCAATAGCAGTTCCTTTGGACTTCCTTCTGACATACACCCCCACCACCCTACCCTCACACATATGGTTTTATGAAAAAATAGGGGTTGTGACATCTTTTCAGGTTGAGAAAAACAGGCCTACACACTAGTGATTTCTAATGTCCTTCGTGCCATTTACAGCTCTACTTAAATGTTATCCCAAAAGAATATGAAAACGAATATATGTATATTCATGTATGACTGAAGCATTGTGCTGTACACCAGAAACTGACACATTGTAAACTGACCATACTTCAATTAAAAAAAAAAATTTAAATATCATCCTAGTCAGGCTTTTCCCGACCCACTTAGTCTAAAGTAACTCCATTCCCAGTCACTCTTTATCACAACACCCTTTTCACTTTCATCATAGCACTTATGCGACTCAACTTTAAAAGTATTTATTCCATGTCACCAACTGTTAAAATGTAATAAGCTCCATTAAAAAAAGAGATAACCTGTATCCTGATTTTATGACAGTATTCTTACAAAGCAGATGTTCAGTAAGTGCCTCTTGAATGAATGAATGAACGTCTGAATAATATTTCATGTATATATGACAGTTTATTTAAAATACGTTCCAAGTGTTGAGTATTCAGGTAGTTTACAAGTTTTTGCTCATAAAACTGGTTTGGCTCTGTGACATCTTCATATATTTAATTTCTTAAATTCTTAGTATAAATTTTTAAAGTGGAACTGTTGATCAAAAAGGCAAACATATCTTGAAGGGTCTTGATATATATTTTTATGTGGTCCTGCAAACAATACATGCCAACTTACACTCCAGCTACAAAACAAGAGATTCTACGGCTCCACTTCGTTCCCTACAGATGGAAAATATCTCTTTGTTGTCTTATTTTCATGTCATTATTAGTGGAGTTGAATTTTGTTTCATATATTTGTTAGTTATATGTATTGCTTTTTAAGGTAACTTTATCCTTTGCCCATTTTTCTATTGGGATTTCAGCTTTCCTTATTGATTTGAAGGCAGGTTTTTTAAAAGAGTAGACGGAGGGTTTACCTTACATATTATATTATATCAATATCCAGACATCTGGATCTGAGCCTTCAATATTCATTTGAAGTTAGAAAGTCCAGCTGCAATTTCTGGTCCTCTCCTTGTTGGTGGGCTTCTCAGAGAGGGAAGTGAAGGGATCCTGGGGTAGTAGCAGCCAAGGGGCCGCACCTGAGTCTCAAAGATATGGTTGGTGGGCCTACAAGTAACAGGCAGCAGAGAGTAATCAGCAGTCTGACCTGCAGAGATCTTGGCATGGGTTAGTTTATCATGGGGATGTAAATGGCTAGCCTTTGAAAGTCTTACTTGATTTGCACGAGCCAAAAGCTTTACGTTTGATAAAGTGACTTGAATGATCACAATGAAGAGGCACAGTCCCTCAGTCAATTTCCAGTCACACACGAGCCTCCAAAATATTCTGCTAAGTGAAAGAAGCCAGACACACAAGGTCGCATATTGTATTATCCCATTTATACGACACATCAGGAACAGGGAAGTCTACAGAGACAGAAGGCAGACTTGTGGTTGCCAGAGGCTTGAGGGAGGGCTGTGTGGGGAGTAACTGCTTAACGAGAATAGGTTTTCCTTTTGGGGTGATGAAAATGTCTTGGAGCCAGACAGAAGTGATGCTTACCAACACTGTGAATGTACTAATTATCACTGAATCGTATACTTTAAAATAGTTAACAATTAATTTTATATTACATGAATTTTATCTCAATTTTTAAAAAAGAACTTTTATATCTAGTTTGGTTTTTTTTAAGGCTTACATCTGTCAAGGACCTACTACATGTCAGGCCCTGTGCTAAACAATTACCTGTATTATAGCATGTAATTCTCACAGTCAACCTCTTGAGAGAGGTGCAATTTTATACTTAGCATACAAATGAGGAAACTGAGGCTGAAACAAAGAGGTTATATAATTAGCCTAGGCTCACTAATTGGTAGTTTTCAGAGAGGGATTCAAACACAGGCAGTCTGCCCAGGGGCCAACATCCTCAGTCACTGTGCTTTGTTAATACATTGCTTTCTTCAGAGGAATTCTCCCTGAGCTTTGTCAAAGAAGAAAGGACACCGACATACATGGGTGGTAGGTCTGGGCAAGTATTTTTGCAGCACTTACCCTGGGCTAGTCACTTACGCAGGTTCTGCACTGAATGCTCACAGTCACACGTTGTAGAAAGAAACACTGCCATCTTTACTTTGTAGATGAGGAGCCTGAGGTGCAGGCAACGTACCCAGGTCCCAGGACCAGTGAGTGACTGCAGCCAATCAGATCGGCCCAGAGACCAGCCCTTGCTCTGAACCGAGGATGGAGGTGACGAGCTTCACCCCAGCCTCTCAGGCTCTCTCTCCCAGGACCAGTTTCCTGTCTTAGCTCAATAAATCTGTGCGGCAGATAAGAAAACGACAGTTAGGGAGAAGGCACTGCCTCCTCTTCCGTCCCACAGAAAGAGCACTGCCATCCTTCCACCCAGTTAGTACAAATGTGCAAGCCTGGAGAGCTGGTTTCTGTCCCCCTGTCACATGCGTTATCTATTGATGGATGAGTACTGACTAATTTATGAAATGCTAATTAATTTCGGCCTGAAGAGAAATACAGGCACAGGGACCAGTTCTGTAGCTGGCCTAAAACTATCACCTAATCTCCTGTGATGTCCCAGACTACGATTTGTTTCTTTAGGGAGTTTTTCAGATTGCATTTCCCCAGACCAGGTCCACAAATGTGACCTCTGCAATCATCCTGCTAACAAAGGTGGACGCCCAGCCCTCAGAAATCCCATCTGATCCGTATTCAGGAGAGCCTTAGGAGCTAATTTTCTAAGCGACAAAAATTTATTTGCCACCCTCCCCCCAAATCTCTATTTCTTATTCCAACACATTTCAACTGTAGTAGTCCCAGAGAACAGGACCTGAAGAGATATACTCAGGAGCTCTTTCTAGAGTCAGGTGAAACGTCTTGCCCATCTTGTAGAGGAAGCTGCAAACCATGCCGGAGAGCAGAGGAGTTCCTTCTGCGTGTTCAGGACGCTGGCGTCCCTTGTGGCAGCATGGATGCTGCACATTGCTTGGGTCTGGGAGGGGACACAGGGAAGAGGAGAGAGAGGGTTCCAGACTCAGTGCCCTCACCCGTCACGAAGGCCGTATTAGTCAATGAGGCTGGATGGGTTCCATATGGGGCAGCAAACACCCAGCTCCAGCCTAAGGCTGTCATGCAAAGATGGGCACACAGAACTGCCAAATCTACTCCAAATCTGCCATTTTAAAAAGAAAAGCCCCTAATCTGGACTTGCATGAAAAATCTGATTTTTAAATTTAAACAATTTTCATCACCCTGTGTAGGACAAACAAAACATGTTTGTGAACTAACTAGATTAGCTCTATGGGTTCAGGCAACTTGCAAATTCAGTTCTAAAGTGCTTCTCTTTTAAATTGTAAATAGAAACCAATACAACATGATCAACAAACTATTTTGAGAGATCCTACAGGAGGGGCCTCTAGAAGGAAAGACTGGAAGACTGGACTCAGAAGCAGAAACTTTGTTTGGAATCAAAACTATATATATACATATCGGCTGAAGGTTCTGAACAAGTTATACAACGGAAGTTATGGATTATTTATCTAACTGGCATAGCCACACCTGCCATTGTTACTATGCTGGGTTGTGGCAAAGAACAAATCAGACTATCCATTTAGGCATTTCTCATGCAAATGAAAGGATTTCCAATGTAAACTTCTGAAAGGCAGAGCATAGGTCATATTCAGTCCATAGTGCTTGTGTTTATTTATTTGTATGCAGATGAACTCAATAAATATTTTTATTTGACTTAGCTTATCAAAATTCCTGCTATAATCCAAATAAAGACAACTAATTTTTAAAGAATATACAGAATTTTTTTTATGACTATTAAGCATCGTAATTCACATGGTGACTGATGAGCGCTAAAACTACTGATCAAAGTTCCCAGAGAGTCAAATTACACGCTAATGTGTAGATTTTTGTCTGAGATGCAAATTATTTCTGTCTGGTGGAAAAGAGAAAGACAAATGTTATCATTTACAATTCTGTAGGATATTAACCAGTTTTGTATTTATCTCTGAATTCTTATTCTAATCTTCCTTAATTGCTTATATATACCTTGTTGCTCAAATGCCCTTTAAATCAGTCTGAACATCTCATTAAGTAATGGCCTGAATAAAGCCTTTTAAGTGTTCATTTTATATTTGCATATATATGGCTATTTTGCATGAGAATCATAATTTTTTCCTTGTGAAAAACATACTTTGATATTAGCCTGTCTTTTCCTGGCCAAACTTAGTTCTTGATAATTTTTCTCAACTAGTTTTACTAACGGTCTCCAGTTTATATCAGTCCTATTAGTATTGAAGTTTAAAGTGGGCACAATGTTAGAAAATCTTATGTCCCTGACATACTATTGTGATAAAAGATAAACACTGCATCTCAATTGATTTCTCTCTTCATTCACTCATTCACTTCATTTTCCAACAAACATTTCTGGAATACATGCAGGTCACTAAAGAGGATACGAAGATAAATCACACACACACACACACACTCCCTTTAAGGTTGTTCAGAAGTGAGCAGGAACCAGATCTGGACACTCATAACTAGAACATCAGGCATACAGATGAAGGTAATGGAAACTTACGGAAGGAGTCAGTGATAGATTTGACTGGGGGCATCAGAGAAGGCCTGACAGGCAATGTGACATATTAGCTGAATCTGTAAGGATGAGTTAGGATTTTGAAGGACAGTGAAGAAATGGGAAGTATATTCCCAACAGAGGGAACAGAAGAGAATTCAAGAAATGCACTTTCTTGACAAGTCCTATGAAAAAGGAATATACATGGGCTTTGCAAAAGAAAGTTACCTGAAAAAGGATTTAGGGGTCTACTGTTACATAGCAAACACCCCAAACTCAGTGGCTAAATACAACTCTTGCTTAATATTTCTCATACATCTGCTGTTCTAACCTGGACTCAGAATGTTTCTGCTCCACATCCCTCTCTCGCGGCCCAGGAAACAACAGGTTGCCTGAGGAGTTTCCTTGCCTAGGATGGCAGAGGTGCAAGAGAGCAAGTCACATGGTCAATCCAAAGCCAAGCAGTGGGGCATTACACTCTGACTCTTTAGTGGAAGGAACTGTAAAGTCATATGGCAAAGAACATAGACACTGAGCAGGGTGCAGAACAGACTCCCTGGGCACAGATGGTAGAAAACCTGAATGCCATGATAAAAATTAAACTTTGCTGCTAAGAGACTAGATCTTAATTGTTCTCACCACAAAGAAGAAATGGTAATTATATAATGTGATAGAGATGTTAGCTAATGCCCAAGTGGTAATCATATTGCAATATGCAAATATATCAAATCAACAAGTTGCAAGCAGTAAACTTAATGCTGTATGTCAACGGTATCTCAACAAAAAATGAAAGAAGTAAACTTTGTTCTAGGCAAGGGGACTTCATCACTGTTTTTTTAAGCAGCAGGGAAACATTCTCAGGTCTACGTTAGAAAGACGATTCTGTCGGCTAGCTAGGTGGAGGATGAGAGTTTACAACCAGCTGAACTAGGGTAGTGGCTGTGGGAAAAGGGACAGAGGGACAAATTAAAAATAGTTCTTCAGTAGAGTAAAGTAGGTCAGCATTTGGAGGAAGAGTAAGAAAATCAAAGACACCACTCAGGTTTCTAAATTGGTCAGGTGAACCCACTGAGAGGGATGATACTAATAGCTATTTTTATTGAGCATTTATTTTTTGCCAGCTACATTTTTATGTGTACCATCCTAGTAACGTGCCCCACCCTACACACACACACACACACACACACACACCCCAAACATGAAGCAGTGGTACAGTTTTCTATTTCTATGAGTGACAAATGAGAGGCTTAGAACAGATGAGTGATTTACCAGAGGGTCTATGTTAATAACTGTGAAAACTGGGGTTTAAACATAAAATTGTTTTGATTCCAGAATCTGAGCTCAACAACCAATATGGGCTGCCTCAGCAGGACAGGGATAATGAGGGAATCACTTCTGGGGGGAACTAACATCTGATTTGGGGAAGGGACTGGATTAGTGACTTTATTTCCTGACACATTATACTATTTTTAAGCAATAAAATGCCAGTGTATTTTCTGGTATAAAACATCACTTTGACATTTTAAAATGCCTGAAATTTGAATCATTTATATTTTGACTCAAAGGTGCCTTCATTTGAAAAGACTCAGAACCTGTCCCTCCCCTGTTTCAATCAAACCCTTCCAAAGTATCTTGCTATTCTAATCCCTACTTCCGGAGCTTCTAATGAGGTTTATGTGTATTCATCATCTGTTTCCCACAGATCCTTTGGTCCATCTATACTTCCTGTGGTCCCTAATGGAATTGTTTTAGAATCGGGGTGGGGATAGAGAAGGGAGTACCGGGTGCGGGATTAGGAAAGGAGGAGGGGGCGGTTTGGGAAGTTTCAAGTCCAGCTCCAGTCCCACCCTTCCATTTTTTCCTCATTCTCTCCACTCCTCTCTCCTTTTGTCCTCAGAGACAGATCTACTCTCATTAACTCAACACCCCTCTCTCTGGATGATTTATATCAGTCAATATCTTTTCCCCAAATCATCCTTCACAGAGAGACAAACTCAGGACAGGGAAACCTGGACTCGGGCCTTCTGAGGCAGACAAGCATGTGAGGACAGTGCAGAAGTAATGAAATCACATCTCACTTTTTATTGCACAAAATAAATACCAAAATATTACTACTGCCATTGCTTTCACCAGCTTGGGAAATGTAGATTCTGCCAATTTTATACCTATAGACACGATTTAAATTAAAAGGATGGCAATGAGATGAGTTTATCTTCCTTTCTATTTGCATATATATTTTAATTGCCATTCAGCCTTTTACTTTAAATCTCATTTATTTCACTAATTATTATTTTAAAATGTCAACTATTTTATTTTTATTGGGTTTCTCAACTCTATTATGAGTTGAATTATTTGAATCCCTTTTATTCATTTTCCCTTATTTTTTAAGGTTTTTCTATTCATTACAATTAAACTTGCTCTTTATTTAAAACAATATAAATATATACACATATGTGAAATATATAAACATATATCAAATGTGTAAAGATTTGTAAATATATGTAATTCTCCCTTCTTTTGGGTCATTCACTCACTTGTTCTTTCCTTCCTTCCTTCATTCTTTAACACCGGAAAAGAAGGACCACTGCAGGGGTAGCCCACAAAGCGAAGGGTATTGTGATGGTTAAGTTTTTGTGTCTACTTGGCTGGACTACCGTGCCCAGATTATTTGGTCAAACATTATTGTGGATGTTTCTATGAGGGTGTTTGGGGGATGAGATTAACATTTAGATCAGTGGATTTGCAGTAAAGCAGATTGTCCTCCAGAATGTGAGTGGGCCTCATCCGATCAGTTAAAGGCCTGAATATAGAACAAAGACTGATCTTCCCTGAGCCAGAAGGAATTCTGCCAGAGGCCATCGCCTCTGCACTCAGACTACAAGTCTTCCCTGGTGGTCTGCCAACCCAGCGTGCAGATTTGGGATTTACCAAGCCTCCACAATGGTGTGGGCCAGTTCCTTAAAATAAACCTCTACATACACACATCCTGCTGGTTCTGTTTCTCTGGAGAACCCTGATTAACACAGGTATGTGGGCTTCCCCCCTCCCTCCCCCTAGGGATAATTCCCTGGTTCTTCCCATGTCTCTCCTAGTCCCCTCTAAGGCACTAGGCAGAAACAATCCCTCACCTTGGAGGACTCAGCAGAGTCACAGCCCAGTCACCATCAAGATACACGCTGTAAGGGCTCTTCCACCCTCAGGCCTTGCTCCAGCCTGTCAACTGCCAGTCTCTGTATTTCTTTGCCTGAGGGAGGGGGGTGAGGACACCCTCTCCCCCACCAACACATGCACACTTGCACTGAGCAGCCCTCAGTTCAAGTCCAAAGCCAGTGGTGAACAAACAGCCCAGCTCCCCGCCACCTGGGTGAAAAGACTCTGAGACACGTGATTCATGTCATTCAATGGTAGTTTCTTAGGGGGATTAAGTTCTGGCCACCCATTGAGAAGCTTGCTTTTATTTCCCAAACGACTTACACCCAGAACCCGGTCGTGGGGTCTGCTACCCAAATTAAGATCTCCCTGCCCCACTCCCCACCCCTGCTGGTTCATCCACCAAACAAAATCATGGCGGACAGAAACAGTCAAGTCAGGGATGGGCGGAAGATTATCCTGCAATTCTCTAACCAGGAGAGACGGAGCATGCTGCACGTGAAGCAGGACTACCAAGCAGACTCGGGAAGTCTCAGGGTTGGGGTGGAGGGTGCCCTGAAGAGACCCGCTGAGAGTGCAAAACCTCAAATAAGTCCCACATCTTATCCTACAAATCTGTAAGGTTTGCCCTCTGCCGCAAGATCTACCCTGCATTTCAACGCCCTCCCCTCACCTCCGAGTAAAATGGATTTTGCAGAAAGATGGATAACACGTTTACCTTGGAGCTTCATGCACGTCATGTTGCTATTTGAGGGCAATGGTCCCCAGCGCTCTAGGATTGATCGTTGGATTAGATCAGAAGGCAGAGAGGTGCTTCCACAATGCAGTTTCAGGTGCTTTCTCCAGAAACTTACTGAATGGCCCTCGGAATTATGCTATTGCCCTACATGAGAGAACACAGTAAGAAAGAGATCACCAAAATCCTCCTTGCAACTAAGTGGTCATGATTACACGATGCAAAACGAGACCCCACAGAATAAAAAGGGGGAGGGGAGAGAATTCTGGAACAACTCCCTCGCCCCTCGCCATGGAGCTTCTGAATCAAAACACATACCTTTCACGTCCCATGACCCACACCGGCCTCCCGGAAGCAGAGGAGCCCTGATAACGTGCAGGGTGAATGCCACACTCACTCATGGTTGCCTCTCCTATTCTGGTATTTTTCCTTCTTTCCTCATTTGCCTAGCACCCATTTTTTCTTACTTGTATTCCACATACATTGTAGGCAGCCTTAAATCCTTCCCAGGACAAAGGAGAAGAACTATAAAGGAGTGGGGCAGGCACTGGTGGCCCGCTGGGCACCTTTGGGACATTCTGGGCAACAGAGGTCCCACGTTCCTGTCTGCACCGCCTAATGCATCACAGTAAGTGCTGAAGCCAGAGTCCTGCTGAAAAGCCTCCTCTCCTCCCTGAGTTCACAAAAGGGCTCATTCCTGTATTTAAAAAACAGACACTAAAATCATACATTTTACCAATGTTTTTTCTACCCACAAGTGATAGCTTTTATTTATGAAATACACAGATTTGAAGCCTGCTCAGAAATTCCAGGGACTGCACTGAATGGTTTATAACTTAGAGCGCCCAAATTGACAGAGACAACCAAGGATACTTTTACAATGTAACTCAAGTTATGAGTAAGCTGAATTTCCAACTTAAACTAAAGCACAAACTTACCACCTTTGTGTCAGCTCATATTATAAAAAGCCCTTAACTGAACCAAGACTCTTTACCTTTCTGAAATTCAGGGTATTTTTGATTCATACAAGCCTAAATTCCTAGGCTATCTTTAAATTCTGAACATATTTAGCCTTTAAAGAGTGAATGCAGGAGTATAAATTGATAAAACTTTTCTAGGAAGCACTTTGGCAGTAAACATCAAGAGCCTTAAAAATGGTCCTCTGTTTTTACTCAGTCATTCCATTTCTGAGAACCTACCTGCGCAAGAGGACTAAAAAGCTGATCACTGATATACAAAAATAGATTATATGCAAAGAAGTACACTTTATGTAAAAAGAAGTAAAAAAACTGGGAACAATCCAAACAGCCAACAAGAGCAGAACTATCTACTTATGCAGCAGCAGTCACGGGATCCAGGATTCTGTCCTAGTAGCAATGATAGTGCATGAGTTTTAACTACCTGAGAGCAACGCTCAAATAGAAAAAGTAGGAAACAGAACTGCACAGCATACTCCCAGCTGCAATGTGCCCAGACATCCACCAATACATAACTGGAGGAAATGCACCAAAATTATCTGAGGAATGGGACTGTGGGTAATTTTTAATTTTCTTTTTCATGTGTCTCCATTTTCCAATGTTCAGCAATGAGCATGCCTCACTTTTATGATCAACAATTGAAATAAAAACCTGCACTAAAAGTAAGAAGTAGTGTAGAAATCCACCACAAAGCATCTTACTGATTGCCATGTCCTCCTTTTTATTAAGTTATAAACCTGTTGTCAATACACACACTTTTGGAAATGTCTTTTTCTCGAGTATCTGCTTTTGTGGAACACGTGGTTTTAAACAAACAAAATAATCCTATACCAACTTCTTGGTCTTCAAGCCACTTAGCACTGATAGCCTAACTACCAAGTATAGCTATTATATACATAGTCAGAATTTATGCAAAATATTGTAAAGACAAATGCCTTGAAAAGATGACATGGTGCAGAGAAAATCATAGCTATTAAACTGGTATAAAAATTTAGTCAAAATGTTTTAGTCCATTATGGCTTCGCATAAAGCTCCAAAGGAAGAAAATTTAAGACACTTCTCATCAAAGGCACTTATAGAGTTGTACTAAAATACTTATTTGAATTTTGTTTGAGTCCGACAGTGTTTTTATTCGTTTTTTCACGTTCTGTCTCTCATTGAAACTGTCCTTGAAGGCAGCTATTAATGAAGAAAAATAGTTATCATTTCTTAATATACATGTTAAAAATATGCAAACAGAATTAATAGATTTTGGTCCACTGAAGCAGGTAACAGTATCAGACTGTAGTGTTTCTCTTAATTCTGAACAAAAAGCCATTAATTCCGCAGACCCAGTCCCACAAGTTCTGAGTTTGCCCTGGCTGTCCCCTGGGCTCCCCCGAAGGTGCCACTACATCTCCATGGTGCGTGGTAACTGGACAGAACCCTCCATCCTCCCACAGTTGGTGGGAGCACTGCTCTGAGGTGGCGGCAGCAGTGGGTTGCAGATGAGTCAGTCCTCAGGCATCTATAATTCCGTGTCCCGGTATCGGGAAGGCTGGCCGTAGTAACCGCGCCTTGCGTGTTCTGACAGCTGCTGGCGGTATTCTTCCTCCTCGGCGTCACTGCCATAGCTGCCTCTGGGATCCTGATAAAGTCTGGCAGGACCTTTCTGAGGCTCGGGAGGCCTGGAACTAACAAAGTAAGAGGGTTACATGCAGCCCAAAGCTTGTCCGGGGCTCTGACTGCCGGTGCAGGTGTGGCAATGCTCAGGTTCACAGAGCAGTGGGAGTGAGAATGGGAAGGACAGGCCAGTGCCCACCTGGGCAGCAAGTGGGGCGGCCCGCCAGGTGCTCTTTGACCTAAGAACTCTCCAGCTGGATGGGGTGACTTCCCACCCCTGAGCTCAATGGCTACAAGCTCACCGGGAAGGGCGAATTCTCTGCCAGTTTCAGCCACGTATATCACATCCTTTTTGTTGTCAGGGGCCACCTGGGCTGCTGTGCCCCCACCGTTCAATTGGTAAAGAAGAAATTTGCCTCTAGTTCTCTATTGCTGTAAAACTAGACTCCAGTTTCTGGTCAGAATGGCTGCAAGAAAATCTGATTTTTTTTTTCTTTTCTCAGAGGCAGGAAATGATCCAGTGTAAAACCTCCACAGAAGACACTGTGATAACTACCAGTGCTTATGAAGCACTTTAAATAGAAAGCATCTTACCAACACTGGTCAATTGATTATCACCTTTCCCTCAGACCACAGCTCAGCACAAGTAGCCTGACTTTGTTAGGTGACGCAAAGGAATGAAGGAGCCCAGCTAAGAGTTAGAAAATATTAGCGTCTAAGTGCCAGGAATTTTGCCCATGTGCTATCCTAATGCAATTTAACACGCCTCTGCTCCAATTGGTCTAAGGGGACTGACCCTAAGGGGTCTAAAGGGAAATGTCTATGACTACACTGTGTCGGTTTTAGCACACAACCAACACTACCATGAAATTTTGACTCTATGATCTTTATAATTAAATTTGATTGAATAAGTAAACAGTTGGCCAGGAAACACACACACAAAAAAACCTTATTACATTGAAATGTAAGTGAATAAAAATTTTTGTAGGCATCCAAATCCTAGACAAGCTCCCTTTTTTTAGACAGATACCCTCCACGCAGCCCTTACCTTGTGTACTGGGGCGGACCGGGGTCTGGCTTGTGTGTTTTAATTGGGACTGCATAGATATCAGGATGCTTCTGAGCAATTTCAATCTGTAGTGATTAAGGAAAAAAAAAAAAAAAGAAAGAAAGGAACAAGAGGGAACGGATGAATGACTGGACCGTCAGCTTGCTCATTTCCTGCTGGTCCAATTTTCTAAACCCATTTCAAAGAGAAGAGGGAAAACAGAAGCAACTCTCTAGTTTCCAGGGTTGTGTGTGACGCCAAGTGGTCCATGTCAAATAAGAAAAATGTTTAAAAGTAATGAAATTCTGTCACATGCTACAACATGGGTGAACTTTGAGGACACTATGCTAAGTGAAATAAGCCAGTCATAAAAGGACAAATATTGCATGACCCCACTTATATGAGGCTGTCAAATTCATGAGACAGAGAGCAGAACAGTGGTTAAGGGGCTGGGGGAGGGGGTACTAGGGAGTAACTTTAATGGAGTTTCAGTTGGGGAAAGTGACAAAGTTTGGGAGACGGATGGTGGAGATGGTTACACAACAATATGAAAGCACTTAATGCCACTGGACACTTAAAGATTGTTAAAATGGTAAATTTTAAGTTATGCATATTTTAGTGCCAAAAAAAAAAAAAGGAAAGAAAGAAAAAGGCTCAGAAGCACTGCAATTGTTGTGACAGACTTAAATGAAGAAAATTCCCACATCCACTGGGCAGAACAGGCTCCACAGACCTTTACTTAAATTCTTCTTTGACTTCTAAAAGGTTTTATGTGCACACGGCACAAAAATTCAAACAACACCCAAAAGAACAATCTATGGGCCTTTCAATTTTAGCACCAAGGTTTGCTTGATTTCTAAGGCAAACCTGGGAGCAAATTAAATCTCACTCAGCAAACAAACACAACAGGTGTGTTCATGAAAAACAACTTCAAAGAGGCACTGATTCTCTCGTCTCTCTTCCCCATGCCAGAACCTGATATAAAGTTCCGAAGTACAAAGAGCAGAATCTTATTCACCTACAATGGTAGGTTTTCTCGATTGGAAGAAAAATGGACGCCCTGACAGGTATCAATCTGGAACTGACAAACACTGAGTGTGCCTTTGTTATCATGCACATGAACATCCTTTCATGTCTGTGGCAGTGGCAAAAGGACTTTGAAGCATTACACTGCAATAACACTGCTTTAAAATTCTTACTGTTGGCACACTAAGGTGACCGAGTGGTCAAAAAGCAATTACCCTTGCATTCTGTGCTTCTTGGAGCTCTTGCATTCTCTGCAACCTGGCCTTGTGATCCATCTTCTCAAATATTTTTACTTTGCCCAGGACAGACTTGGGAGCGTTGTCTTGCTCCTCACCACCCTCTCCCACCTCCTCACTCTCTGGGGGAGGGATGGGAGTGGAGGGCTTCAGTATGGGCCGTCCAAAGGCAGGTTTGGCTGCAATAGGAGGGGGACAACCTTTGGTAGATGCCCCGGCAATTTCATTACCGGCAACCGCTGAGGGATTTGACTTGTATTCGTAGGATCTGGAGAAGTCAAAGGAGTCTTCTCTGTTTGGGGTTTTGGCCTGCAGAGAGCAACGCATAGTTTTACCTTGAGCTTCTGGTTTATTTTCAGACATCTATTAGTGATTTAATACACTCCATTTCCTGATCAGTTTCCAAAGGTGGTCAACAAATTCCACTCCAACAAGGAATCAAATAGAGCAGGGCACGCGGCCACTGGTCTGGCATCCAGAGCCCTACCTCACTTCCTATAGAAGAGAATTAAAAGTTTGAGGAAAGCAGGAGGGTGCTGGGGACGTGCTGGGAGGCCCACACGTGCCTGAGGTGGAGCAGACCTCATTTTGTACCAGAAGAGATGAGAATTTTGGAGCAGACCTCCGAAAAAGTCTGGCTTCGGGATGGAAGAGTGGCTCCTGAGCCCACCCAGCCTGAGGGCGCGTGCGCTGGCCCGGAGGGGAGGCCCAGGTCCAGCCAGAGGTGCCTGAGCCTGGGGCGGGGAGCGGGGAGGGCAGCAGATCACACTAACAGCCACTTTTTCTTCATAGTTTCATCCCAGGCCTGCTTGTAAATTTTCACGGATCTATTTTACGAGGTCACTAATTACTTCTCAGAGCTCACACAATCAATTATTATTTTCTTCTTAGCCGAAGTACTGAGTTACAGAGAGAAATTTTATTGGCTTATAAGGAAAAGCCTATAGCTATAGCTTTGATTCCGAGATGGGTAAAAAAAAAATCACATGACATATGCCCATGGGTCCCTACACTGATTTCTGGATAATATCAAAAAAAATCAATTAGATGGTCCTCATAATGAGAGGCATCATAAACAATGGTGGTGATTGTTTTTCTTAGCAAGTCACCAGGAAGGATTTTCGGGGGCATCTAAATCAGGTTGTGGGAAGAAAAATTTAACTGGACAGAAAAAGAAAAATAGATTCTGAGACAAGTGATTCTGGGCATGCAGTCTTCATTTAACTTTTATTCCTTCTACATAAACAACAAAACAAAATGAAATAAACACTAATAGGTTTAAAACTGTACCCTCTTCAAAAACTGCCTTTCCTTGTTTTTTTTTTTTTTTTTTGCTTTTTCCTAATTTTTGGCTTTACCCCAACCCGGTGAGTCAAAAACACAATCCAACGCCATCTTATTGTGCGTGCTCCTCCCTGGCTAAGTAGGGAGCTCGAGGGGTGGCGGCTTCCTCCTTCCCAGCCTGGGCTTCCCAGCCACATACCTTGGGCGGCTCTGGCTTGAATGCCGGGGGCGGGCTATTGTCCCTAAGTTGATCTCTGCTAGCAGCCCTCCTCATCTGAGCTCGTGGCTCTGGGCTGGATTTCCTTATGCTCTACAAGACACAAAGGTTCATTCACAACCAGAACATCCCAGCAGAAAGAAGAAAGTGCTCAACTGCTTTGCTGGAGTTCTGCAAACTTGTGTGAATTCAGAAGTAGAGGTTTGTAACTTGGGTAAGTTGAGATAGTGAGTGACCCAGTGCTTCTTTACTGAAAAGGCAGATACCAGGCATATTCTCTTACTGACAAGTGCTTAAGATATGTTTTTCCAAAACTAGATGCATGTCTCTCCTCTAAAGTACAAAAACAAAAGGTCTTTCTAAAGTCTAAATCTCTTGTCACTCACAGCTGTTAACACTCTAAAGCATTAGCTGAGCTGTATCTGCAGACATTCAAGAGTTAACTTATTGTTTACAACTTGTCTGGCAACATATACTAATTTTCCTGTCATGGTGAGCTGTTCCTCTTTTCAACTTATATTTTTGGTACTTCTATTTCATAAAGAATAAAATCACTCACCGAAATAAGCTAAAATGCTACAGAGAAGTCCTCAGCAATAATTATCCAAATATAGGTGGAGAATCTCATCTACAAAGATCATTATTATCCCAGTGTTCTGTGAGGTGCAACTAACAGTGCTGGTCCTAACTCAGTGCCTGTCGATGTGATTTCTAGGGTCACAGAAGCCGTCTATTCACTGGCCCTCGGATGCATAGCACACAAGATCAGACATACCATCAATCATGAACTCAATTAAAAAATGGAAACACAAGAGAGAAGGAAACTGATGGGGAAACACTCAGGAGTTTTAGCAAGATTAGAAAAGTTAAAGGTAGGGTGGAGAAGACAAAGCCAGGATACCTAAGAGTACAGAGAGGACCTAATCAAAGGTTACAAGTAAATACAACAATATTGTATTTAAAAAATAACGTCCCGCTTGTAATTTGGACAGCTGGCCCCGACATCATGACATCATGCCCAAGGGCATCGGTGTGATGAGTGCTGATCGCTCAACCTCTCCCAGTGCTCAGTTCCTGCCCCTCCTCTTCCCCACGGACCACAACCACAACCACACAGGCTTTGACCTGGAATGAGAGGCTCCCGAGATGTACCTGCTCCAGCCCTTAGGAATACCTTTCACAGCACCCTGAATAAGCAGCTGGCCAGAGGATTTCAAGGGCAATGCCAGAACCTGCTCCTCCTGCCTCGCCTCACCTCCTCATGCGGCACCGGCTCTGAGGAGCGGGTGACGGAAGACACCAGCGGCTCCTCGGCTGGCTCGTCCAGCTCATTGTCAGTGTAGGCGCCTCCTTCGCCGTCGGTGTCTTCAAAGTCACTGATGAGGTGGCTGTCGCAGCTCAGATAGTCCGCGCCCATGGCAGTTAAGTAGGACATGCGGTCTTCGGGGTCGTCATCCATCCCTTCCATCTAGAGGAATTTGTTTCGGAGGGTCAGTGGGATCTGACATGGCCCCTGGGACTGAGGACTCAAGAATATTCCCAAGGGCACAGCCAAGTGACAGAAACCTTGACTTGTTCTAGAAAGCAAAGTCACCTTTATTCTCCTGAAATCAACTTGGCTTTAAATTCCTATGTTAATTTTTGTGCAAGGACTCAAATTTGAAACCTCTTCTTGCTACCAACTGTCCTTTACACTGCTACCGACCCAGGCTTCCTCAGACCGTTGCACTTTTCTTCCAGAATCTGGCTGCCCTCCAGCTTCTTTCTGTTGTTCTCCTAGTAATTTGTTCTCCTAGTAATATGTGCACACTGCCCCGAGCTGCACGCCTCTCCCCTCACCCATGAGATTCTCAAATCCTTGAGGGCAGAAGCTCTGTCCTGCTCAACCTGTTCTCAGTGTGGAGGCTAGCGCACAGCCTCAGCGGGTATACGCAAACACTCAGTGGATACTAGATACTCTTATTAAACACGCAGTTTCTAAAGAGCAAGACTAGGACTAAACCATCTAGTTGGTAACTGAAGCACTTCTGCAACAAAATCGTACCTCTAACAGCTCACAAACTACCCCAATTTAGCTGGACTATGGAACACCAACACCAACAGCTCCTAGAACCACTGAGAACTACATGCTTTCTCTCCACTTCCTCCCTGCAGTGGGGCTGTGTGTAGACTCCCTCCACAGCTGAGATGCCAGCCGATGGTAGAAGCCTATACAAAGGTCCCAGCGCCCTCTCATCACCCACGCACACTCCTAGAACACATTCTCTGCCAACATTCTTTCTAAGCCAATGATTCCAACTCCATTAGATTTTTTCTATTGATTTTTAACCATGTTCTCCACACCCCTCAGCCTCGCCTCTCACCCCGACTCTGTTTCCCAGGTCCTTAGTAAGCTGTGGAGCTCAGCACAAGACCTTGTAAGCTCTGATTAGTGTGCTTGGGACACAACACTAGTTACTACATTAAAAGCAAAGGGAAGTGAATGTAGGGCTGCACAGATCTCATTCTGCTTTTCTTGTAAAAGTGCCTTCAATTTATTACTTTTTCAGAGAATTTATAAATGTTCAAACAATTAACACATACATTGGGATCACTTGAAATGGGCCTGGTTTTACTACATTCACTACCCTCTTTAAAGAAAACTCAGAACACAAACTCTCACCTCGTAGCAGAGGATCTGTGCCACGTACCTTTCCTTCGGAGACCCAGACTGCTTCTCCTTGCTGCTGCTGAATCGTGTCCTTCAAGCTGCCAAACCAGCTATCGTTGGCTGAATTTAGGTTGATTGTAGCTACAGAAATGTAAACCAAAAGCTGTGCATCAATTTCCAGAGAAATATTTATTAGAAATCCTATTTGACATAACTTATCCTAACTTGTCATATAAATTAAACTTTGGCAAATGGAAGAGAAAGTTGGCACATATTTGAACACTAAATCCTTTCGGTTGAATGTAATTCAACTATTACCATCTAGTTGTTGGAGTTTTCATTACAGGTGGATGCTATAAAGCTAAAAATGGATTAATTTCTTTCCAGAATGCCTGTTTTTCAAAAAAGCCACCTTTTAAAAAATATGTTTTTAAGAGTGTTTTCAGGAGCAAAGATTACAACATCTCAACCAAATATAAAACTACCATATTTTAAAGATCAATATGCAGACATGTATATTATAAATAAGAAAAATATATACCATTGTACTATTTATCTCCAATAAAAAAACTAAAGATAATTTTTAAATGTATATCATTTTAATAGGCTTAAACATTTTAGAGTACAAATACAAATTAACCAAATTCCACAGGTGTGTATTCATGGGCTATACGTTTTCTATTCAGAACAAAATATATCTCACATAACAGCACTTACTATAATTGACCAAACACTTTTCCAAACACCTTACATGGATTAGTTCATTTCATGCTTGAACAAACCTTGCCATGTAGGTAATGCTATCTATCACCCCCATTTTACAGATGAGAAACTGAGGCACAGTAGTGAAAGTAACTAGCCCAAGGCCTCGCACCAAGCAAGTGGAGAAGCCCAGATACAAACTCAGAAGTTTGCTTTTAGGGTCTATGATCTCAGTTACTACATGACACTGTCCATCTGAAAACATGAATTTAGCTGGGGAGTGCGGTGGGTGGGTAATAGCTCAGTGGTAGAATGCCTGCTTGGCATGCACAAGGTCCTGGGTTCAAACCCCAGTGCCTCTCTTAAAGGAAAAGGAAAAAATTAAAACCATGAATCTAGAGTACTATATAAAATATCAATCAAGTAAAAGACATATGATTGTTCTTAAGCAATGTGTATTTATGGACCTACTAGAGATAAACCAGACAAGCAAAATTGGGCCTAAAATAATCAAGCTGCAGGTAAATTAGGATTTTTAAAAACTACATCATCATGTCCTTTTATTAAGGGGTACTGCACTATGTGTCACCCAAAAGAAAATCGGAGCTTGTTGGTAAAAGCTGTTCAGCAGACTGCTCCATCTATCCTGAAATCTACATAATTCTCTATAAACAGCCAAAAAGAACTAGTAAGCAAATTTTGTAAGCAATTATGCTCCAGGTTTTCTTCCTAGTAACATATAACATTATTTCACTTAAAACGTTCTAACAATGACCTTGGAAAATCCTGAACGAGCTTACAATTTCCTTGGTTATTAATTATTTACAGCATTAGAATAAACTGATACCTTGGACAACTCAAGGAAATTTAACCTTGATTCCCTGGACTTTTGTAAAGTTTATTCTGTTCCTGGTAACAGAAGTGAGATTGTGCATCCCAGAGACCAAATGAGTGATTTGCACTAAATGTACACAGAATATTCTGCTGACTTTTTAAGTTTTACGTTGGAGTTATCTGAGATGAGTAGTCTGTTTTTATCATAAGGAAAACCTCAAGTTAAAAGGGCCACTTGTGAAATGCAGAAAATATTTTCATGGCCCCAATAAGAAAGTCAGAAAACCTCTTACTGAATTCACATTGAGTCAAGTATATGAAAAAAAAGCTTTACAGTGGCTGATTTCCTAAGCCCCATTAAAAAGAATTTCCAACTAAGTTGTTAGCATCCAACTCAAGCACTTGACCTCTCTTTTAACAAGCGAGTGCACAGCTATGATGCTGCCTCCCCTTCACTTGGGATCAAGTTCCTTTGGTTTACTGTTGGCTTTTGCTTATTACACTTTTCAGATTCTTTGATTTCAAGCAATACTAGTTAATCACTATTGTTCCCAACCTCTGGACTAGACCTGTGTCCCCTTGGATAGGCTAAATATATCTCTCAAACTCCAGAAAGTGAAATACTGAAAGATCTTCACTCAGCCTCCGTCTCAGCCAGGATCCTGGGATTCTAAGGGCGTCCATTCCCAGCCCTGGCACAGGTGTACTCAGAGCTCCTTCTCCTTCCCCAACCAAGGAGGTTGAGAAGCACCAAGAGCAACAGCAGAAGGTGACGTGTAAGGCTGGAGGGGTAGGGGGAAATCAGGAGTGACTGCTAATGGCCATGAGGTTTCTCTTCAGGGTGATGGGTAAGTTCTAAAATCGATGGTGAGGATGGCTGTACATTTTTCAATATACTAAAAAACTACTGAATTGTACACTTTAAGTGTCTGAATTATAGGGCATATACATTAAATTTTAATAAAGCTGTTCTCATTCAGGGACTCTCTCTAAATGGGTAAGCATCAGCCAAGGTGCCCGGCCAGGGAGCATGGCAACTTCCGTCTGCTTTCCGTGGTCATCAGCCTCTACGCGTCCTTGGAAAACTAAGCACTGCCTACTGCAGTTTGGGTTCTTTTTGGCTGATACAGGATTCATCACTCGATCCCAAGCCTTTTCAAACACTACATTATGACATAGAAAATTTCTTTCACAGTATGTTAAGACTGAAAGATAAAAAAAAAAGTATAAAATAGTATCACTAATGAATAGCATTTGTTCAGCATTTCCAAAGTCTCAGAACTAAACTGTACAAACTTCACATTAGTGAAACCTAGGAGAAGTGCTAGCATATTCTGTGGTACTTGAAAAAATCCCACAAATTCACAAAAAGGGTGGCCCTGCTTGGGTTGCTAAGTCCCCAATACCATTTCCGTGGTCTTTAAACCACGAACTGAGTGCTTCAGGAATTCCAAGAAAACACGTCATTTAAACTTCATGTTCTCAAAAATAACTTTTGCAACATGTACATGCAAATGTGTTCTACAATAAATTATTTTTAAATGACAGGGGAGGCTTGGGCAGCCTAACATTTTACATTTATGTTGACAGGTTAACTTGCTTTGGGGCAAAATCTCAGAATAAAGCTTCCCTTGTCACTGCCACTTAATTGAGAAGCACCTTGAGTTTGCAAGGAAAGCCATTTACTTTAATTTCTTTTTTAGTTTAGTTTAAATTTTATATTAGCTTTAGTTTAGTTTATTAGTTTATTTTTTATATAAAAGGCATTTTATTACGTTGTAAAAATAGTAATGGATATACGTAAAAAACAAAAGGAAAAATAATTTATACTTTTCAAAAACAACCAAGACGCAATTGATTTTTTTAACTGAAGTATAGTTGATGTACAGTATTATATAAATTACAGGAGTATAATAGAGTGATTCACAGTTCTGGAGGAATTATACTCTATTTATAGTTGTTATAAAGTGTTTGCTATGTTCCCCGTGTTGTGCAATATATCCCTGTAGCTTATTTCATATCTAATAGTCTGTAAAAAGGAAAAAAAGGACTAAGACATGACAATAAGCATAACAGTACAAAAAGTAAATCAACAAGCACTGGTAATGTTAGTTTTCTTTTAATTTTCTACAATTAATGTCATACTAAGCCCTAATTTGTCCTATATCTGAAATACTAACAACACACTAACGGTTTCTATAAACCTTCAGTTCTTCTACTTGATCATTTTTATTGCAACTCTAAAGTAACCTTTAAAGTAACTTCAGGGAGAGCCATTTTAATATGGTCATAATTAAATACTCATCTTTGGGAAATGGGATTTTCCTGTTACTGTGCAAACAAAGAAAAAGAAGGATATTTAGCCTGTTGACATCATTGGAACACAATCCTTGATTTTGAATTACTGCGATCATCAAAGCAGCTCTGCTATTCCTACTTATTAATTCTTTAAAACTCCATAAAGTTAAAGCCATTTAAAAAAACTTTGATTCTGGCCATGGTGCACACAATCAAGTCAAAACCTGGTCAGGCTGAGTGAGACACGGGGCAAAGAAAGCGCTAAGTGGGGACATCCACGCAGTTTCCCAGAGCTAAACTGAGAAGTCTGGAAGGTTACTGTGAAAGGCCAGCTGATAGACAATCAGGGACTGTTGGTAAATTACTCGGCACCCTGCCCCATTCATCCCAAAGACCAAGTAATTCCATACTAAAGGCTGGCAACCTATGATGAGAGTGGGTCACTTCAAAGTTCTAGATGAAACTGACACTCAGAGCGTCTATGTTTCCATGCCAGCCCCCGACCTGAGTTATGCTGAAACCTCTATCTTTTTGATTAGCTTCGGCAAGAAACGGATTAAGTGGGCCAGAGACAGTTCTAATTAAGTTACAAACATGTATGCCTCGCCTGATGCTGGCCTCCGGCACACACAGCTGGGTAATGGTCAGTCCCTGCCTTCAAGGATCCCTTAATCTCTTAGTGGAGCTGAAAAGGAGTTGTTAAACCCGTGTACACACACGAGCTCCTTCTGATCCTCGATCAGATGCAGCCAGCCCTTGTGGCCTGTGCTCCAAAAAGCCAACGATCAAACTCAAAGGTAGAAGAAGGGAGGGTCCCAGCATTACCGGCTGCCTCCTTCTCCTTTGCTCTCCCCTTCGCAGAGCTAGTCATTTTCATAGGTAGTGCAAATGGATTCAGTTACTCAAACAGGTCACATTCTTACATCACTTTACTTTCATAATAATCGTAGCAGCAGGTCTTCATTTCAGGAACTTTAAAAAATATTCTATTATGGAAAACTATAGACATATGCAAAAGCAGAGAGAACAGTTTAATGAACTCCTATGAACACATCAGTGCAACAATTACCAACTCTTGGCTGGTCTTGTCCATAGCCCCACCTACTCTCCTCACCGAAGATTATTTAAGCAAATCCCAGACATCATATAAGGTCATTTGTAAATATTTTATTTAGCATACATTCCTAAAAAATAAGGATTCTTTAAAAAAAAAAGTCACAGTATCATCACCCTAAAAACAGGAGTACTAAATCCTTCATTTCATCCAACATCCAGAGTGCTCAAGTTTCTATTTCAGAGACATTTGTAAATAATGAAACCAAGTTCCTATCACTTTGCAAGTTAGCGCACACATGGATGGTAAGCAGAGAACAATGACACAGTCCATGACCAACAAGGGTACTCGGTGATACACGCCAGTGTAATCACTAGCCTTGCAGTCTCCACAAAAATCTCATCAAAATGACCAATTACTGTGTATTATGGATCTTTACGATCATTTTCAGTCAGGATTATAAAGTTATATAAACAAACACCATGAGTCCAGTATACTTATTTTACAGGATTAGCTACTTTCCAAGGAGTCATGAATAGGATTTCAGATTACTATTCCCCACTCTGATGATTTTCCTTTTCCTTCCATTCCACAATTCTCTACTTCTCACTATACACTTACATGTATACATTACAGTACACATTTCACTTACCTGTAAAAAGATGTGCACAAGTTTTTTTAAGCTTGTTGGCTTGATCGAATAACTTTCGAGAACTTTTGTTGGATGATGGATTCAACCTCTGTCTCATGGTTTTGACACCTTGTCTAGAGTCTGGGTTGAAAAAAACCACAATCGGGAACCACTGAGTGTAATTCAACAGGTCCACGGCTTTAGGAGTCACGTCCAAGAGCGCATGCTTATCCTGTTAGAAATGGGGAAAAGCTTCGTAAATGGGTATGTAAAGTCACAAAGCATCAAACTGTCTGTAATAAGGCTGCAGCAGATAAAATGTGCCAATTTAAATCAAAAAGCAGGAAATGTTTCCCTACACATTACATCCATTTCATATTGCCAATCTATTAGAAGTTTTGAGAAAATGAATCAACAGATTATTTGGTATAATGCTCAGAACTCAGAACCAACACATCAGCACCACAGAGCACCATCTGGTTTCCACACAATGAAACAGCTCATATTTATAATTCAGCTTTTATCATTAATATTTAATAACTATTAAAATATAGACTCTATTCTTAAAAAGACTGCAGCAAACCATGACCCAATTCTTTCTGACGACATGGTCTTCAGGTGAACTTTCTTACCTGTTCAATAATTTGCCTCACGGTATTTAACCGCACCACCCCACTGGATTTCTCAGATCCTGCGTCTCTTGGTTCAGTTTCTGAAAAACCAAAAAACAAGTGGGAACTGAATAGTATTTTAGAAATCAGTGATAACCAAGTCCTCCAACCTAGCATCAGCAATAACAGGACACCTGACACTCGGTGTCTCCTAATGAGAGGCAGTGGGAAGGACCTACCCTGCCTGCTTAATCAAAATCTAACCAGGGGAAACGGGCCAGGCCTACAGCAAACATCCTATGAGACAAGGGGCGTGTACCCTTCAAAACAATTTAGGAAAAGGAAGAGACTAGAAAGACATAAAAATCAAATGTACTACATATTCCTTGGTTGCATTCTGAATTAAAAAAAAATAACAAGCTATAAAAGACATCATTGGGACAACTGAGGAAATTTGAAAAATGGACTATATACTAACTAACATTGTATAAGTGTTAAATTTCTTGGCTGTGATAATGGTATTGTGCCTGCGTAGGAGGAGAATTAGGAGATTCACAGAGGCAGACAGTGCTATAATGCCTGCAACTTAAACTTCCAAATAGCTCAGCAGAAAATGTAGGACGTGTGTGTGTGTGTGTGTGTGTGTGTGTCTAAATTTCTTGGCTGTGATAATGGTATTGTGCCTGCGTAGGAGGAGAATTAGGAGATTCACAGAGGCAGACAGTGCTATAATGCCTGCAACTTAAACTTCCAAATAGCTCAGCAGAAAATGTAGGACGTGTGTGTGTGTGTGTGTGTGTGTGTGTGTGTGTGTGTGTGTGTGTGTGTGTGTGTGTGTGTGTGTGTGTGTGTGTCTATGTGGGGGAGGAGTGAAGATGGTAAAATATTTACAACTGGTGACAGTGACTTCAGGCAGAGGGGATGTGGGTATTCACTATTTTTTCATTTTTTCTGTATGTTAGATATTTTTCAAAATGAAAATTGGGGGAGAAAAACTATCACTGACAGACTTACTAGCAGTTTGGAACAGGTCAGGCAGCTCATTTGCCAACTTCTCCAGTGCTATATCTGCTATGGGGCCAAACAAGACCACAGGTCTCTTGAAACCAGCTGAAATGAGATAAGAAGAGCCATGAAAACACCTACATGTCTTCAGCTGCTGAGATAAGAAGCAGAAGCATTTCACAGGCTATTGATAACACAACTAAATCAAAGAAACTGAGTGTTCTCCCACCTCTAATTCAGACCAACTCTTTTCTGCAGACTAGACCTTCACTCCCCTCACTATTACAGAAGATAAACTTTTACACAGAATATATAAACACTTTCTGAATGGTGGTATTAAAAAAAAATGACTGAGGTTATAGCAATATGAGTTTCCATAGCTCACTTTTTATGACATGAGTTTGCATAGCTCACTTTTTTTTGTAAGTCTTACTTGATGTTTAAATAAGATCCTAACTCTGTACGTTGGCTTTGGTCTAAGTGACATAGAATGTGAGCATTAATATCTAAAAATGAAGAAAAATAGGCTCAGAGCCCAGCTGGATCATTTCCTGGCCCCACTTGGCTTCCTCACCTTCTCGAAGCAAAACCCTCTCATAAGCCGGGAACTTGGTGCTGACTGACACCGCGGCTGTGAGGTCTTCCCGACTCTTCCGTAAATTCTTCTTCACACCGGACCTCTGGCCACGCATTCTCCAGAAATCTGCCCTGTCCCCGGTGCTGTCTCTCTGGGCGGTCTGCACGCTGGCCATTTGTTCCGCTCTGAGAGAAGAAACCAGGAGAAGTAAATCTCTCAAGCTGGGAAATGCACAAATGTGCGTGTCACTGACCAGATCCAGTCCATGTTACTGATGGACTGGGATTGGAGAAGATGTGGCTTGACAATGGGCAAGTTTCACAGGGTGAGAAATGCAGGGACTCTCTTCTGGTTGGAGGCAGAGAAAGGCTGGCTGCACACAAAATCCAGCAGAAGTGGCTCAGTAATTAATAAACACGCTACCATGGCTCGTTCTGTTAGGCTGGTATGCAGGCATACCCTGTCTTCCTGCACTTTGCTTTACTGTGCTTTGCGGATACAGTGCTGTTTTTTGGTTTTTAGAATTTTTTTTTAACAAATGAGAGATTTGTGGCAACCCTGCATTGAGCAAGTCTACTGGTTCCATTTTTCCAATAGCACTTGCTCACTTCATGTCTCTGTGTCACATTTTGGTAATTCTCATAATATTTCAAGTTTTTTCATGATTACTATATTTGTTATGGTGATTTGTGGTCAGTGATCTTTGATGTCACTATTGCAAAAAGACTATAACTTACTGAAGGTTCAGATGATGGTTAGCATTTTTCAGCAATAAAGTTATATATATATTACTGAAATATAGTCAGTTTACAATATTGTGTCAATTTCTGGTGTACAGCATAATACTTCAGTCATATAGGAACATACATATATTCGTTTTCACATTCTTTTTAACTGTAAGTTACTATAAGATACTAAATGTAGTTTCCTATGCTATACAGTATAAACTATCTAGCAATAAAATATTTTTAATCAAAGTATGTAGATTGTTTTTTGGACATGTTATTGCACTTAATAGGCTGTAGTATAAACATAACTTCTATATGCACTGAGAAACCAAAAAATTTGTGTGACTTGCTTTATTGTAATATTTGCTTCATTGTGGTGGTCTGGATCTGAACCCGCAGTATCTCCAAAGTATGCCTGTACAGTAAACAAACCTGAAACCCTTGCCAAACTAGTTAGCTTTTTTCCCTTTTCTCCCCATTGTCAGCCAACCAATAAATGTTCGCTGGGGTGTCTGAGCCTCTCTCCAGGATGAGGGCTAGACACTGGACAAGGGTGGCATGCTCGTATGCTATGGCCACATGGTGTCTGCTCAGGGGCTCAGGGCAGCAGACACACTCCTTAGAAAATTGTCTAAATGCCAGCCAAGTCCAAGAACTGACCATGTGATGCCGATACTCAAAGCAAACCACCTGGTGGCAATTTATAGTTCCAGGCCACTCCTCGTACACGAGATGCAGATGATGGGAGAGGACAGGATGAAAAATGATGAAGTTGTACGGGGCTTCCTTTCAGGGGGGCCCATACATTATTTATTTGTGGGAGGAAAAAGCTTAGGGGGTTGTGTGGGCGCGTGTGGTCTCAGATACCTGCTTTTGTTGGGGATTAAGCCTTTTTCCAATTCATTTCCGATCCTCACGGCCAGCCAGTGGCCCAGTTTGCCATCATACAGCGTATCAACCACGCGGAAGATCTCTCCCCTGGTGAAGGCCAGGCTCTGTGGAGTTTCCTTCTCACATTCAAAGTGGCTTCTGATAAAAAACGAATCTCCTCTGCCACAAGCCAGTATATCTCTATATACTGAAAGACAAAAGCATCACTGTATGCTGCCTTCAGCTTGGCCAGAGGTCTTTTCTGAAAGAGTCATCAGTTTCTCCAATCTCTGAGCACCCTCTTCACCTTCTCTTCATTTAGTGAACTCAGTGCACAGGCCCCATGGGAACCACAGGAAGACAGACAAGTAATAAGTTCACGAGTTGCTGTGATGGTTAATTTTATGTGTCAGCTTGACTGGGCCATGGGGTGCCCAGGTATTTGGCCAGACATTAGTCTGGGTGTGTCTGTGAGGGTGTTTCTGGATGAGATCAACGTTTTAACTTGTAGACCAAGTAAAGCTCCCTGGTGTGGGCTGGCCTCATCTAATCAGCTGAAGGACTGAACAAAACAAAAAGGTGAACCCTTCCCGGTAAGAGAAAATGAACTCTTCCTGCCTTCAAAATGGGACATCAGCTTTTTTCCTGCCTTCAGACTCAAACAGATACATTGGCTCTTCCTGGATCCTCCTGTCAGCCTTCGGACTGTAAATACACCAGCGGCTCTCCTGGTTCTCATGCCTCTGGGCTTGGACTGGAACTAAACAACAGCTGTCCCAGGTCTCCAGCTCGCCAACTCATCCTGCACATCTTGGGACTGGCCAGCCTCCATCATGATGTGAGCCAATTTCTTGTAGTAAATATCTCTTTCTTCCTTTCTCTGTCTCTCTCTATATATATACACACACACACATATGTGTATATGTGTGTATACATATACATACATACGTATACATACACATCCTGTTGGTTCCACTTCCCTGGAGAACTCTGACTAATACAGTTGCCAATCAACCCTCTGAAGACATGCAGATACTATCAACCCCTGTTTTACAGATGAGGACAATAAGCCCTGGAAAGGTGAAGCAACTTGGCAGGCTAATAAGGGTTAATAAGGGACCTGACCATCAGGCATGGTCCATTGCATCTGTCTACAGAAAAATTCAGTAGTAACTCCAGATAGCAATTAAGGCTGGATCACTGTTAAGAAAAGCAGTTTTATTCTAAATCGACTAGTGAAATTCTTTCAGGGGGTGCATGGAAAACATTTCTATAAAAAGGTAAACGGTACCCCAATTTTTCCCACATACCTGTGACTGAAAGATTACGTGTCAAGATCCACTTTAATTTTTTAATACCCAGATTTGCTTATTCTGATCCCAAGATACCTCCTCCCCCGCCTCCCCCCTTACATAATAACCAAACCTGCTCACCATCAGCTCGGCTCTGAGCTAAAATAGTCACCATTTCACCTTTGGGGATTTCTAACAGGTAGAGAACAGCATCCTCCCGAACCAGCCCTCGGAAATCCTGTGTGTTCACCTGACGGGAGGGGAAAACAACAAAACAAGACAAAACAAAAAAAAAGTTTTTATTAAAAGGTGCTATCTGAGCTTTTTACCTGTTTATGTCCATCACGGCCTTCCCAGAGCAAACCCCAGGTGTGAAGAAGTCCTTAGTGCCCTACTCAAGCCCTCGCAGCATCCTGCTACGGGCCTGGGTTGTGTGGGCATCACCACCCCTTCCTGTCTCCCACACTGCCAACCACTGGTCAGGATTATGCCCATCCATCAAGGATTCGTCACTGGACCAGGTGAGAATTTCTCATGGTTGTGTCTAGCTCCCTCTCTTCTTTGAGTCTCCTATCCAGGTGGCCAGGGAAGTGATGTACAATTCTGAATCAGATAACTATAATGCAATAGGGAATGGTGGGGTCTGTGGAAAAGGAGCATGCCAGTCCAGCTTAAGGAATTAATACTTCTTAAACTGATTCAAAGAAAAGCCTGAAAATAAGGATTCTGTCCAAATCCACCCTTTTCTTAGAGCTTCTATCACCTGAAATTGAAGAGCATTAGCTTTATATGGCTGACCGTGAGCCTAATACTTGGCTTTTATATTTAAGCTTCTGATACACAAATGGGCAAGAAGCTCACATCTATTCCCCACTGATTGAGCAGGGTACACTATAAATAGCTTTTAAAAGATAAGTTAGAAAGCAAGAAAAACTGAAAGTAGCACAAAGAAAACATTTTGACCTCATTGTTCTGTACCTTTGAAACTGTTTTAAAACAATAAATACAAATAAGTAAAACATAAAAATTATTTTAAAGTACCTAAAATTTTAATAATATATTACAGAAGTAAAGATACAGAATTCCTATGACACATTTTCTTCCATCATTGAGGACCTATAGAATACTTTAATCAAAGAGTAATGCTTTACACTATGGAATGACTATAACTCGGTGGAAGTATGTAAAAAAAAAAAAAAAAGAAAAAAAGAGTAATGGTTTACTACTGAAAAAAAATAATTAATTGAGCCTAATTAAGGTTGGAATTTACAAATAAATGAAATAGGCATTACACTAAAATTTACTTGGTGCTTTTAAAATAGAGTGATTTACTAAAGCAATCACATTAACTTTTCCTTTGAAAGTATTTAGCATTTATGACAGCTTATTCCCATCTCTCTATCCCCGAATCAGAGATATTCCCACTTTGGTATCTAATTCATTCTCGTGTGCCAACTGCAGGTCTACATCTCCATCTATATATGGCCACATGTATGTTTTTCCAGGCACTGTACATGCTTGTATTCGTTTATTTAAATAAGACAGTGTCATAGGCTTGGGAGAAGACCTTGGAGGTCCCTCTGTCCATCTCTCTGGCCACTTGAGACTGACTTCCCAACAAGCCAAAAACTATAATGGTCAAAATTAAAGCACCCATGGTAGCTAAGGTTTTACAATCCACAAGGTTAACAACTAAACTCAGGAGCTTTTTTTCTCTTTTCCTGAAAGAGAAATGACGATCACAGCAGGTAAAAAATAAGCAAAGAGACAGGCAAGCCAGGCCCCAAAGCAGGTGTATCTCTGTTATTTACAAGGCACATATTCCGCCACAGCACAGCACACTCATGTTTCCATTCCACATGTCAGGCTGTCACCTTTACAGAAGGAGAAGCAGCACTTACAAAACCCGCAACAGAAGAAAGTGATTGGTGTACATGCATCGTACCTCCATACATATTCAACATGACCACTGAAAGGAGTGCTAAACAAAATAAAGGAAAAGAGGCCAGGACAGCACTCTGATACTTGAAGGTCAGGTTGTACAGCCCTCTCCGACAAATATCCACGGTCTGTTAGTAGTCTACAGGGTCTAGCTGTGTCTGCTATGAGTCTGAAGTCTCTGTCAGCCACACTATGGCGGTGTAGCAGCGCCTCTGCCCCAGTGGGCGAGCTCAGTCTTCTTCACACCTTTGTAGACTTGACGGCTCCTTTTGCAGTCAACAGAAAATTTATGGACACCCAAGCATGAGAACCACCTACTGTCTGATCTCCAGATGAGACTATGGCAAAAGGAGCTGGTTCCCAGTTTCTTTCTTGTCACCAGGGTAGTAACAGGAAAGAAGACACTTTCTTAAGCAGAAACGTTGTGTACTGTGACTTGTACCCATGGAGGTGACTCTCCCCCGTCTTTAATGACTTACAGAGAGTTCTGTCAAGCCCCTAAGGGAATTCACCTTTTTTTTTTTCCCATGGAAATTTGAAAAATCTTCTTTTCTCCAGGGTACAAAAAAATTGCATCCTTGAACTTTCATGAGTAAAGGCTTTCAAATTCCTACCTGACTTCCTGCGGCCCCATGCTAGTTAGGAAACTTGCTTTTTCTTCTTTGGCATCAGCCCAAGAGTAAACTGGTATGAGATGACACTCGAATGAGGTTCTTACCGGTAGCACTGGGTAAGTGGTATTTCCTAGGATCAGGTGGTACCATGAGGGTCACTCAGGTACATGTGGTCTTCTAGGATCCTGACCAGAGCCAAAGAGGGTCTAGAATGTCACTGGAAAGCTTCCGCAAAGCTCATGGTCAAGGTTTGCCCTTTGTATGCTCCAGAAATGAAATGTGAACTATTGCCAGGAGGCCCTGGGCCAAGAACGAAAAGGACCCCTCTCTTTTTGTGCTCTGCTGCCTGCTTGCCTGGGAACTCTGCTTTTCTCCCCTCCCCTCTGAGGCCAGATGCTCTTATCTGACCCCCTAGTAACTCATACGTGAGAAATGCAAGTTTAAAGAAGCAGAAATTCCAGTGAAGACAATTCCCTAGCATGCTATATTTTTATGCACACAAGGTACTTGGCGTTCCTGAAGTTAATTCTGAAGTCAGTGGGAAACACATGATATGGATCTCACAAAATGTCAAAGCTGAGGTGGTTATCATTTTTAACAATCAACAGATTATGCAAACATATATACGGTAACTTTAAAAAGTACCAATATTTGATTAACCAGGGATTTTCCTTCCTGGACAATTTTAGATGTAAGTGACACATGGAGTGGCAGCAATCGGTGTTTCAATGGGGAAAAGGAACAGGAACTCTGCCGGGTACCTTGTAAGTGTCATCTGTTCTAATGTGCCCAGGGTCCCTGTGAAGCGGGTACACTTATCCCAACTCAACAGAACAGAAACTCGAGTCTCAGTGGTGAAGCCAGAGCCACAGACTAATATGAGGCTGGGACGGGACTCAAATCAGACAATCTGATGCCAACACCCCCATCTGTTCAATCACAGTACATGGCCTGCAGACTGACATCCAAGTGGGGGAGTCAACTAAAAACCAAACATTAGCAAGATCTTTTGCAAGATCTTTCCCCTAGGCCTTTAGTTAAAGTCTCAATTTTTTGTTAATCAAACTAATAAAAATCTTTGCAAGGGTCTTCAACACTATAAATTCCCACAGACGTACAGGTGAGTTTCAGGTTCCAGGACTGAGAAGACAGGACTCATCCTAAGGAAACAGAGACCCAAAGCTTGGCAGCAACAAACTTGCAGCTGGTCTCTTTTCACAAGCTGGACCACACTGTTCTTTCCCAATAACACCTAAAAACAGGGCTGGGCTCTCCTACCTTCAGAATCTGGTCCCCTTCTTGAAGACCTTCCTGCTCTGCTGAGGTGCCCTCCTGAATGCCTGCCACAAATATCCCGACGTCGTTGCCACCAGCCAAGCGGAGGCCCACGCTGTCTCCCTTCCTGAACCGCACCATCTTGGTATTGGGGCTGCAGTGGGTTCAGAAAAGAAAAATGGGAGGTTTTGGGGGGCTTTTTTTTGGTAAAGGGGAACCAACATGAGCAGTGAGAGATTTAATTTCTTCTATCCACAGAGTGATTAACCCTTTATAAAGCCTTCTCTCATTTTTCTTACATAATCTGTAATTGTATCTGCCTTGAGGCTATGAGATGCATATCAGTCGGCCACTTCACCAGTGAAGAGTAGAAATACTGAATGTTTACGTAAACTCATTCAACATTAGAAAGCAAATAAAGGCAGGGTTAAGGGCAAAAATCAAGGTCATCCGATTGCTACTGCAGGATTCTTCAAAAGGAAAGCCTGCTGCCCCCACAGGGCACTTGTCAGATGGAGAGGCACAGCCTGGGTCTGGGAGGCTGCTCAGGAACACCACTGACCCCAGGGGGTTTTCAACATCAAGTGTAGAGCACTGTAGCACTTCTCCCCTCCCCACACGCTAGGACCACCTGTCACCCTAGCCCCTACAGAGTTAACTTAACTGCAGTTCAGCAATATCTCACCCATCTGGGAGTTACTGGTTGGAAAAACTCAAATATTCAGAGTGACATCTGGGACACTAGCCAGGTAAGGAGACAAGCAGACAAAGTCAGCATAATGAAGCTCACTCACCTCCACGTTTTACTCTTCCTACAAGTGATTTCTCTTTATTTTAAACACCAGCAATAGGGAATGGTTAAAGGCAGTTGAATTTGACATCAAATCACCATCTATAGTTTAAAAACACCTTTCTCCTAGATTTCAGTTAAGGAGACAGCATTGTGTGGAAGAAGAAAGAGGGAAAGCGAGAGAGACTGAAATGCATACCCATATATTGCTAAATCTTCAGAACTTGGACGAAGAACAGCTCTCGGGGCTGGTTTTGGTGGAGGAACTGTGGATTAAAAAGCATAGTTACCAACCCGGACTAACAGGAACTGGTTTGTCTCTAAATATAAAGATTACCAAATCCACAAAAATGTAAGTCTGTACCTTATGTTACATATATGTGATCACATCAAACAGCAAAAATAAGCCTTAAAGTGAAATTTAAAATCCCTCTGATTTCTGGAGTGATGGGGTACCAGGAGCATCTTTTGCTGTAATATCTGGTCTTTGACCTCAGTTCCTGACACAGAATTCCTACATCCCTTGGAATTTACTGGGTGTTAGGGGTGTCCTTTGTTCTAAAGAGATGACTCTTGGTGGGTTCCTGGACAGCCTCAGGATGGGACTGGTCCCAGCAAAAGGAAGCCATGCACATGACAAGCTTCCATTAACTAGGGGGTTCAGAGTGCATCAGGGTTGGTGAAAACACTGAGGTGTTGGGAGGGTGACATGCTTGGTGAGGGCATGAAAGCTCTCTGCCCTCTCCCCACATCTTGCCCTATGCATCTCTTCCATTTAGCTGTTCTTAAATCATATCCTTTAATTAAAACAAAAACAAGACAGTAATGGTAAGTAAAGTGCCTTCCCGACTTTTGTGAACCATTTTAGCAAATTATCAAACTTGATGAGGGAATTCATGGGAACCCACAGTGGAGAGCTGATTGGTGAGAAGTGAAGGCACAACCTGGGACTTGCGACTGGAGTCTGCAGTGGGAGCATCTTACGGGACTGAGCCCTTAGCATGTGGGATCTGCACTAGCTCGGGTGGTCAGGGTCAGAAATAAACTGAATTTCAGTGAGTGGTGTCTGGAGAATTAGAACTTGTAGATGGGCAGAGGACAAAACCCACACAGTTGGTGTCAGAAGTGTTGTGAGCAAAAACATTTCAGGTTGGGGTCAGGGCTGGGAGATGAAAGGACCATGACTAATGAAATATAACAAAAGGGTTTCAACCTGCTGGCACAGAGAAAGGGCTGTCATTTTTTATACTTCTTCAATATTAAACAAGATAGGAATACCCTTTCCATATATAGATTTTTAAGAATGATTTTTAAATAATTTTTCTCCCTCCTTCCAGGCACCTTCTGGAGTTACCAAGCACACACCCCTGAACACGACTGTTTAAAATGAGCCTCACCTGGGGATTCCTCTTGGTATCTGGGTTCCTTGCTGGGCTCTGGGCTGACTGCAGCTGCAATATCCCCAGTAGACTTAAAGGGAGTGGGCGTGGCGCCCATCCTGGACCATCGGCTCTGCATGTCCTCTCTTGAACTTAAGCACACGTCATGTTAATGTCTCATCATGTGACAGATTTGCAAATATGTGTGTGCATACACCCACAAGGACGTGTGCAAGGGGAAATATACATCATCTTACTTTGGCCTTTCCTTCAGCTTTTCATTTGAGGAGTGATGATCATAATCAGAATACTGCTGCCGTCTCTCCTCTGGAGAAAATGACCGGTTTGACTCTATTTCTGAGACATCTGATTTCAAAAATAAGAAAAGACTTCTCAATAAAATATTTAAGACCAGTGCCAGAAATTATTCTATTCTCTGGGCAAGGAAACATGGGAAACGGAAGACAGACGGGCAGTCATTGTGCTGTTAGTCTGACAGTGTTCCTTTGGGGGAAAAAAAAACCATGATAGTTTGAAAGGAAAGGCATTAATTAACAAAGAGGAATCCAAATTCAGAATTTTATGTTCCTCTTTCATTATACTTTCCATCAAAGCTGCCACTGAAGAGTCAAAATCCAATGACAGGATCATGTATGTCTACACTCATTTTTTTTTTTTACCACATAGACCAGTGCTTCTCAAACTTTAATGTGCATACATGTCACCTGGGATCTTATTAGGATACAGTTGTTCTGGGTGAGGCCTGAGATTCTGCAGCTCCCTCAGGCTCCTGGATGATGCTGATGCTGCTTGTGGGCTGAGTGAGGACCACACACAGAATAACAGTAATACACTGGGTGCTCCCAGCGCACTGGGATGACCTCTCATGCTCTACTTGTGTTCCTGCCCTGCACCCCTAGCAGTAACTGCCTGATTAGACACTTTATATCAGAGAAATTAAACTAAGTTTTAAGGGTTTATAAAGCAATTCTTTTAAAAATCAACAAGTCCATCTCCAAACTGGAGAACTTACTATTTTCTAATCTTGTCTGCACCAAGGTGATACCAGATGGTTAAGTAGGAAATATTATGTCTACTTATTTTTAATGGTAATGTTTCCATGGCTAAAATGTGACCCTATGCATTGGATGTCAACGATACTTCAATTAAAAAAAGAAAAAGGAAAAAAAAATGTCAAGACAGGCCCAAGAACCGAAAAAAAAAAAAAAAAAAAGAGTAAAGGGCCAAGAAGCCACAGACCATGTTGAAGGACATGAAGTTGATTTGCTTGTGGAAATAAAGACTAAACCAAATAAACAAATGATATGTTATCCAATGTATAATTCATATTCAAGATAAAAAAAGAAATGAATATAGCTTCATAAAGGAGAAGAGGTGACACAGACTGCTAACCAATGAATGCCACCATATTCAGTCATCCTGACTGACTCTCTGTTATACTGTCTTCCTGTTTTAGCTAACCTCTACATTGTCTTCTCTTTGTTGGAAATATTAATAGCCACTTCAAAAACATCACACGACAAAGTGCAAGAATGAGCGATTTACAAATGTTAGTTCTCTGAACCACTCACACATGCATTTTTCACTAACAAGTTTTGTTTTCAAAGGCCTAAATCAGAGCCCACCAGGATTCACAAGGGCACCAGAACTTCATGCTGGAATCTTAATTTCAACAGAGCCTTTGGTAGGACAATAACAACTTTTGAAATTAAAGTTCAAATGAGAGGTTTCTGTTAGAAATTTAGCTTCCAGCTGAATGGCCACGCTAAGCAGAGAGAAGGCTGCAGAATCACCAGCCTTCCCGGCCTCTGGCTAGCCCGCAGCCTCCGCTTCCTTTACCTTCTATTTCTGAGTCGCTGTCATTTAGAGATGGGATGTTGATGAGTGTCTGCTTGCTGTCCCTCAGTACCACGAGCTGGAGTTTTCCTCTTGACTTTTCTATCAGTTTTCGAGCATCCGTTAAAGACATGTTCTCAGTCACGGTTCCATTTATCTGTGTTTAGGAAAAACGGTCATGTTACATGCAACACCACCATTCACAGTGAAGTGGAAAATTCTAGTTTTCTCCATCTAAAAATCTGAAGGCTCTGTTCAGCTATTCAAACAGGGCTTCAGGGTGACTGATTGAATAAAAATGAATTACCCCTTAAATTAAATATAACCCTGCTTGTCTGAAACCCAAATACAGAAGTGAGAGAGCTGTACCCTACTTAAGTTACTCTGTTAATTAATTTAACTTCCACTCTCCAGATGATGGTTTGGTTTACTACTAGAACGTGTTTCCGGACTGGAGAGGTTTACAAGAACTATTAAATATTCAGCATTCATATACTACCATCTCTCCCTCTCATCTTTCCTTAGGGAACATGAGCTTAAACCTTAAATAAACAGGGAAGAATAAAGTCTTTGTTGAAATTAAAAAAAAAATTCCACTATTATAAATCTCCAAGTCTGGTTTTCCTGATTAAAAAAATGATCTCTGCTGCTCTTCTTGCTTTTTTTCTTACTACTGACTCCCATCTCAACAAAGCTTCACTGTGTTTGCACTTGAACGTGGAAAGGCGGACTGTGGAGCTGAGTATGAACTGACTATTCTCTGCCTTGTCCCTCACCTTGAGAATTATGTCTCCTTCGTGCAGGTTGCCATCTTTAGTCGCGAGGCCGGTTCTGGTCATTTCCTTTATGAAGATCTGACTCCCAAGCCGGAGACCATACTCTAGGAGACAAGTGCACAAACATCATGCATTTTGTCAACTTGTTCAGAAAACCTGAGTCTAGCTTTTAGGACTATTTAAAGATATGTATGAAAAATTATTTTTGCATGTGAGAGTCTATAAGACCACTGGCCTGGACTGGGCAAAACAGTCAATGTCATAAAACAAACAAACAAAAACCCCAAAAGAGGCAGAGGGACTGTTCTAGATGAAAAGAGACATAAAAACTAAATGCACTGCATGAAACTTCACTAGATCCTTGAGCCAACTAGGGCAGAGGTGGAGGGTAGGGGTGGGTTATAGTATTTTGGAGCAACTTCAAAATGAGCTGTGCTATAATATATTATAAGGCATATTAATGCTAATTTTCTTAAGAGTGATAATGGCATTATGGTTGTATAGGAGAATGTTCTTATCCTCGGGAGATATTTGCTGAAATATTTAGGGGTAAAGGGTCATGCTGCCTGCAACTTACTTTCAAGAGGCTCCCAAACACCACTGAAGGACAGAAAGAGAGGAGGTAGGGGAGGAAGAGGGGGAGGAAGGAAAAAAAAAAGAGAGAGAGTGAAAGAAAACAAATGTGGCAAAATGTTAAAAACTGGCAAAACTAGATGAAGGCTAAAATTAACACTTTTCAAAACAAAATGTTGGGGAGAAATAAAAACAGTTCAATACATCTTAATAGGCAAGGTCTACTTTCAGTACAGTTGCCTAAAGGAAGGCACCACAAATAGCACACCCTCCATTGGTAACAATTTCGATTGTGTGGCGTTGGCACTGAAAACATTTCAGTGTGTGAAGCAAGGGAGCAAATAAGCCAGCAAAGCAATAAATAAAGTACTTAATTAAAACTTGCACAGCTCTGGGCGTCTATGGACTTTGAGTTGTCCTCAAAAGAAAAACCACTGTTATTTACAAAGTATCTGTTTTAAAATATTTTATATGCTATTCAGACTACCCTGATTTTACTTACTCAACTTGCAAAAATATACATATTAAGGAATTTTGGTTATTTTGGAAGTTACCACAAACCTAGCAGGTTTTATTATTATTGTTATGGACTCAAAATCCTATAATTACAAAATAAAGTAACTTAAAAAGAAGACATACAGGTGGCCAACAAGCACATGAAAAGATGCTCAATATCACTAATTATTAGAGAAATGCAAATCAAAACTTCAATGAGGTATCACTTCACACCAGCCAGAATGGTCATCGTTAAAAAGCCTACAAATAAGGATAAATTGTATAGCACAGGGAATTACAGTCATCATCTTGTAATAACTTTTAATGGAGCATTATCTGTAAAGATACTGAATCACTATGCTGTACACCTGAAACTAATATAATATTATAACTCACCTATACTTCAATTAAAAAAAAAACAAATACATAAAATTTTTAAAAGAAATGTCTACAAACGATAAAAGCTAGAGAGGGTATGGAGAAAAGGGAACCCTCCTACACTTTGGTGGGAATGTCAATCAGTACAGCCACTGTGGAAGACAGTATGGAGGGCCCTTAAAAAACTAAAAATAGAGTTACCATATGATCCAGCAATCCCACTCCTGGGCATATATCAGAGGGAATCTTAATTCGAAAAGATACATGCACCCCAATGTTCACAGCAGCATTATTTACAATACTCAAGATATGGAAGCACCCAAGTGCCCATCAACAGACGAATAGATAAAGAAGATGTGGTGTATATACACACACACAGTGGATTATTACTCAGCCATAAAAAAGAATGAAATAAAGCCATTTGCAATAAGCAACATGGCTGGACCTAGAGATTATCATATTAAATGAAGCCAGACAGAGAAAAACAAATATCACATGATATCACTTAAAAATCTAAAAAAAAAAGATATGAATGAACTTATTTACAGTGAACTTATTTACTGGAAACAGACTCACAGACATAGAAAACAAATTATAGTTACCAAAGGGAAAAGGAGAGGAGGGGGGCATAAATTAGGAGATTGGGATTAACATATACACACTACTATATATAAAATAGATAAACAAGGACCTATTGTAAAGCACAGAGAACCATACTCAATATCTTGTAATAACTTATCATTGAAAAGAATCTGAAAAATTGTATATATGTATAACTGAATCACTTTACTGTATACCTCAAACTAATACATCATTGTAAATCGACTATACTTCAGTTAAAAACAAAAACCAAAATAACAAAGTAACTTTCTACCACTTAAAAATGTTAGGAAGTAGATTTAAAGGTAAGTTTGCGTGCATATTACGTCCTCTATCTTGTTTTATCTTATTCTATTTTACTGATATAGTTGATGTACAATATTTTATAAGTTACAGATGTTCAAGATAAGCTTTAAGTGACTTACAGGAAGTTAGCACCAGATCTTACCACAAGGATTAACAATGTTGAGGTGCACCCCCATCTTTTAGGAGGCTGACATTCAGGAAAGAACAAGGGTGAGACAGATAGCATCTGCTTTCATGGATGGCAGCTCCTTACTGCTTAAACAGCCTCACAGCCCAGGACAGAAGGCTGAGACAAACTTAAGCAGTGACTTCTATGTATCAATAGTTCCTCTAACCTCTTACTGCAAAGTTACAAATAGGTTGTTATCTGTGTGTTTGTGGGCATCTCCAAAATGAAGGGGAAAAAAATGAGCTGATCAGCTTCTAAGACTTTTACCAGCAAGGCTATCTGGGGTCCATGAATTGTAAAAAGCTGGCCATGTGAACGGATCATATTTTTCTTAATCAAATGTAGGTCCTACCTACTGCCAGATATTTATAAAGATTAATTCTTATGCAACTCTAGCTAGTGATAGCTAAATTATTACGTAATCTTACCAAAAGGTGGCCAAAAAAAATTTTAAAAAGTGGAAATTTGGGGAAAAAAACAAAAACAATTTCTAAGTTTGAAAAAAAAAAATGGCCCAGGAGTAAAATGCTGTATCAGCCATGGGGCATGAGCCCCCTCTCCTCCTTAATAGTATTACTATGACCAGGTATGACTTGGGCAGTCTCTTCAGACAGATGTCTTTTTAACTGTGGCTCACAATTCATGAGTAAGTCCTGAAATCAATTCAGTTGAATTGTGACCAGTATTTTTAAATTTAGTATAAGGGAACCTCTCAGAAATCATCACAGATGATTCCATGTATTCCATGAAACATATGGCCAAGTCCTTCACATACTGGCGCATTCATGATTATTTGCAAGATGTGGTTCTTTCTGTGGCAGGGGGAGGAGGGAGAATTGAGGAAGGAAGAGGAAGAAGAAGAGGTGAAAGAGAAGGAAAAGACTGACAAGCACTGCAGCAGGGAACTCAAGAACCTGGGTGCACATCCTACAGAGTGTGCATCAGACCTCTCTGAAGGAGGTCTCATGCCAAGTTATCTTTCTCAAAACTTCTCTACAGTCTGCAATCTGGAAGCAGAATGGATTTTACTCTGCAATTCTTGGGGTTTAATGAATTAATATGTTATTAGCAGTGGTTATAAAGATTCTATAGAATCCTTAAACTTCTTAACATGTATATTCCTCAGAGATAGTGCAATCTCAACTTTCACCCTTATTTTCTAGACCTGGGCTCCAGGTATCCCATTATTCACATACCTGCAGTTATTTCAATATCCTTTCAATATCAGGTATTTCAATAGGTACCCAGTTTTAAGAAGTCAAGTCTTTATGTTCCTCTAGAAGAACTAAAGAAAACAAACCCTCTTATCTGACAGGCTATTTAAAATGCAAACTCCAAACCTAAAAACCAAAACACCTTTCTCTTTGCATTGCTGGGTATTCATTTTTTTTTCCTCTTTGAAGAACAATGAGAGAACAAAAGGAGATAAAAGATACGTTGTAAAGCATTCAGAAAGTTAGAAGCCAAGTATCAATGCAAGGACTACTTCAATGCTGGGCTCTAAAATCCCTGTTCATTCACCTACTTGCTTCCTATCCCCTATTTCCCAGAGATAAAGTTTGAGTTCCAAATCCACCACTTACTGGCTTCATGACATGGGCAAGTTGCCTCCCTGAGTTTCAGAGTCTTCACCTAAACTGTACATGTTACTAAGCGTCTCTAGCTGCCACATACGGCTTTGGTGAATCTGGATATGCTGAATTGCATGGAAGCACTCCAGGAACGCAAAAAGGGACGGGCCCAGGCCAGAGCTTGCCTCATCCATGAGTGTACAAAAACCTTTCTGCACCTTATTATTTTCCCATCTATAAAACAGGAATGAAGTCTCCTATCCACCACACAGGCCTCTGGTGAGGATTAGAGATTATTCTTTCTGCAGAGGCCCTGGCATAGAACAAATACTCTATCAAGATAAGCTGGAGTATTGTCCTCTATTGTGGTTTCATCAGTTTAGGCTGCACCAGGTTCACGAGGAGGGCTTGTTAACACACAGACTCCCGGGGCAGGGAGGGGGCACCCCAGTGTTTCTGATTCAATAGGGCTGGGGCCTGAGAATCTGCATTTCTAATGAATGTCCAGGTAATACTTATCCTGCCCTGAGAACCACTGGCCTATCAGTTTAAAGCCAAATTTCCACAGCCTGGCTCAGCCACTGATGATACTACTTTGTGCAAGTCAAGGAACTTTTCTGTGCCTCAGTTCCTTGTCTATAAAATGAAGATACGAGTAACACCCAGGGGAGGTGGTAGTGAGGCTGCAATGAGCTAATCCGTGCAAAGCATTTAGGTCAGTGCTTTGCGGACAGCAGGTGCCACGTCAGAGTTAGCTATTACTGTTATAGTGCTTTTCTTCATCAAGCATGACTACCTTCATTTGCTTTGCTTTTGATCAGAAGGACGCCGATGGGCCTGTCCGAGTCTGGCTGGTCAGGCCGCCCCCGCGGCTCGGGACTGGGGCTGCGGGAGTGGAGGTGCTCTCGGCTGCGGCTCCGGGACGCCCCGTACCGGGCATCAGGCTGGGCCCTGTGGCCGTACTCCACCTCAGGGCTGTAGGCTCGATCATAGGTGGGGTCAATGCTCCGGCCGCGGCTACTCTCCCGGGCTCGTCCGTAGTCGTCGTGGTCCAGGCCCCGCTCCAGGCTGCGGCCGCGGCTCCGGTCCCGCTCCCGGCTGCGCGCCCGGTCGTGGGGACGGCCCCTCTCCGGGCTGTCCTCCCAGCTGTGGCTGCGCCCCCCGCGGCTGCTGGGCCGGCTCCTCTCGCTGTACCCGCTGCGCGCACTTCTGCCGTCAAACTCATCCATCACCTCAAAAGCCCGGTCATCCTCGTGGATGGGAAGGCTGCTCTGCACCGGGGCCACGTGGACCTTCCGGGGCCTCTTGACCACCTGTCAGACAAACATCGGGGACTCATGACTATCACAACCAAAAAGAGAACGCTGTGGTTAAGAGCGCTGGTTCTCCTTCCAGTAAAACTGTGTGTCCCTGTCCAGTCGCTAAGCCTCAGGTTCCTCATGCAGAAAACAGGGACAATAAATACCTCAGGGGGTTGAGAATAAAATAAGTCAATGAGTATTAAGCTGTGAGCACAGTGCCTTCAGAATCTGCTTCTACCCAGAGTGTGAAAAGCCCCAGAGACTTTAAATCAATGTTACAAAAATGAAAATCAGAAAGTGAGACATTCTGCTTAGCTCCCTAGGTTCATACAAAAGTCAATGTTATTAAAAAGAGGGGGCCAGGCAGGGGGATAGAGGGACCTTTGTAGATTAAAAGAGACTAAAGAGATAAGGACCAAAAGTGATGAGTTAACTTTGATTGGATCCTGGAAGAGGAAGAAAAATATTCTATCAAAGACATCTTATGATATGAGGTGTGTATTAGAGGATATTACAGAGTTACTATTAATTTTCTAAGACAGGATAATATTATAGTTATGTAGAACAATGTTCCTATTTAGGAAACTTGCAAAAGAAGTCATTTAACTATCATTTCTGCAACTCCCCCTCTAATGGTTCACTAAAACTATGTATGTTTATAAACATATATAGAGAAAAATCAAGTGACTATGGCAGAATATTAACATTGTAGAAGAATATGTATGTGGATTAAACTAATCTTTGAACTTTTCTTTTTGCTTGAAAATTTTCATAATACAAAGGCGAAAAAACCTAAACACCACATGTCCAGAGCATCCCCCTAGCTATGCCCCTAACACATGGTATTCCAATTCTCACTTTGTGTGTCCAATTGCCCCACTGGAGAGAATACTCCTTGCAGCTCAGACCTGCTCCAAGGTCAAGTGGTATCTGGCTCACAGTTGATTTTCAACCAATGTTTGCTGAATGAATGAGTGAATAAATAAATGAATGCCAGTATCTCCTAAAAAAAATTGAGTTTATGAAGATAGAACAGATCCTGTTCAGGCCTTTACAAATGAGTCTTTGAGCTCATAATTTATTTTCTAAATTAACCCTAGTTTACAATTGTTCTCAGTCTAGGTAATTGTCCTAGGGAATAACTGTCTAACGTGGCTCTTAAGGCAAATTCACTCAGATAAGAGAAGCACTGGTCTTCAGTTAGAAGGATGAGGAAAAGGCAGAGAGGGAATTCCTTACGTCTTTACATCACCCTTAACATCATCCACCCAAAGTGCTGAGGATACAGAAGTAGTGGCCCCAGGTTACATAAGTCTGTCAAGTGCTTAAGAACAAGTGGTAATTCTCTGGGCATAAGAACAAAATGCTCCTGAGGCGAGCTGAAAACAAACCCAGAACTTACAATGGCAGCAATCTTCCCACTTTTTCTCAGCTGCTGAACAGCAAATGAATGGAGCACATCTTCCATGGGGGTGCCGTTAACCATGACCACCCTATCATTTTCTCTGCAAACAAAAGAGAAAAATGGGACATGAAAAACTCCCATCTAGTCACTGTGAACTGTTTATTTAGGAACAAATAAATGTGGCAGATTAACCCAAAATGCTTATTAAAGGGCTCAGTGTTTGATGACGCCCGAGGCTTAGTCAACTTGGTCTGAGCTCTTCTGAGGAAGGAACCCAGGAGCCACTCAGCCCATTTGGGACAGTGTCTCCTTGGAGACCACCTGGGGAGAAGGACTCAAACCACGAGGTCCCTCCAGGAGGCACTGGAGAGTATCAAGATCTGACCACAAATGGAAATTCTGCATCAGGCCCTCCTAACCCAAGGTACCGGTGTGCTTCAGCAAGTCGACAAATCTCCCCCAGCGAAGGTCGATACCCACTTGTGTTTTGGAGAGGAAGAAAAGACTGCCTCAGATTCTTCAAGAAATTGTGAAGTCCCAGAACCCTAACTCTTACTTTATCTCATCCCCCAAAACTATGTAAAAATTCTCCTTTGCTCTCTGTATGAAACACTACTGACTTTCATAGGACCGCTGAGACTTGAAATGCCAACAGAACCTAAACTTTGGAGCTGTCTGGCCAAGCAGTTGTGTGATTAACTTTAGATTCTTCCCTGAGCAGTTATCCTAAGGAAACCTAGACATACGTCTTTCTGAATGGCATTATTTTCTCTTCAGACCAGAAGGCTGGTGGCTGGAAAACTTGGGTATTCAATGTAGCAAAATTTCCCAATTTCCACATTCCTCTTACAAATTAGATAATCATTAAGCCAGAGTATCCTCATTCTTAATGAATATAAATTAAAATAAATAGACCCATTATATTTAATTTATATTTATTAAGAAAAAAAAGATTACGACAATTTTATACTTGGTGCTCATAAATGATTCCTAAATCCAGGGATGACAGTTAACAATAGACAGTTATAACTATCTTCCTGTGGAAACGACTGCTTTCCTTCACCCAAAGTCTGGATGTTTCCAAAGGTTTGGGGATTGTTAAAATGGTGTGTTATGGTCTCAATTACTGCCTGAAGACTTTTCAATATGTACAAAAGTTCCTTTTCTTTCTTAATTTTAGAAGTGGACACCACCCAAAGCTCCCTGTTGAGGGCCAACCAACGGGGCTGGCAGGGTTGGGGGCAGGAGGGACACTCACTGAAGCAGCCCGTCTGCGGGTCCACCCGGGAGCACGTCAGAAATGACAATGGACGTTTCCCCATTTTCGAAGTGGGGATTGTCTCTGCCTCCTGACACTGCAATTCCAAATCCTCTCTTGGAATCCTGTTCATTGGAGTTAAGAGAAAAATTAAAACAAAATCCTTCTGTAAGTGGCTTTCAGGATTTATTGCAAGCAGTCAATAAAAGAAAGGTCAAACCAATAACCAGAGATAGCTCAGGAACAGAGGGCTTACAGAAAGAAAGGATAAACAAAATAAAGCATCATCATGGTTAGGTGACAGGTTTATAAAGGGGAATCCCTTATCTAAAAGAAACAGGCTTGTGAACGCTGGACAAAATTGACAGCACAGACCGGAGTTATCACTAGAAGCTGGCGGGGATGAGAAATAGCAGCGTCTGTCCAAATAAGGATGTGCTATTGGAATCTCCAGTCACACCTGTTCTCATATCCTGGCCTGAGCTGGAACGGTTTCAGTCACAACTAAATCCGTGCTAAAACCATATTTTTTAAGTATACCCTTAACTTGTAAGCCAGGTGAGCTGGTGGTTTCATGTCAATGTAGGGTGAAAAAGAAGTAAATGGGTTTGGTTTTCGAGATAAAATCTGAAGATAAAGTTTTTTGAGATCTTATGAGAGAGCAAAGCACTGAACTGTTTTCTACATGCAGGTAAAAAGGAAACACAGATTAATTACATCCAAGATTAATCTAGAAGTGTATCACAGTGAACCTAGATACCACATAATCCTAATTCATTTCGGTGTTTAAAAAAGGCGAAGCTCATAGATGTCATCCAGATGGCAGGCGTGTATGTGATTATAACCCTAAATAAGGATTTGATTATGTAAAAATCTACTCAAAGAATAAAAGAAGGAACCCCTCCTCCATCTCAAGAAAAGTTCCCATGTGGGACCCACTGTGCCAACTGCTGACAAACAGTTACCAACACAAAACAAGCTGGGTGGTTGTCCATTAATCACAGGGCCCGGAATTTGGCACCATCATCCGGTACCCGGTTTTACAAAGAGGTAGCACCATCCTATACCGGGCCTAAAATGTCTCTCACCTTTGCCTATTTGGGGTCCAAACTCAAACGGTATGTGGTGGAAGGGCAGAGAGAAGAATCAGAAGATGACAAGAGGTGAAAGATAAGACCTGAAGGGGGAAATCCCTCAACTGAAGAAACCAGAAGTTTTGGCACCTGAGTACCGATATGTGTTTTTCTACCTGGATTAGTTTAATACACGTTTATTCAAGAACCAAATTTTCACTGAAGTCAAGGTTTGAGATTCATGGTTCTGATGGTCAAAGGAAAACCCTCCCTTTGAGGAACTTACAATCCCTCTAAGAAGCAACAGAGACGGGGGGGATTCAGAACAGGAGTAAGACCCACTCGGGGCCCAGGAAATCAGTGACGCTGAGCAAGGCAGCTTGCTGGGATAAGACTTCGGCATCACAAGTGCATTTCTAGTCTAGCTCAGCCACACGCAAATCACTTACAGACTCTTGACAATTGTGCTTGTTTCGAGTGGGGCTAATACCTACCATGCCTACCTTGAACTTTGCTGACAAAATAAAAAGAAACAGGGCTAACATTTATTAAGTAGCAATTATATGCTAGACTCCAAGTACTGGAAGTTCTTCATATTGCCTAATTTAATAAAGAGGGGCAATACCTGTGAGATGGCTTTAACAATTATGTAAAATACACTCATGTGGTATTACTTCTACTTTCAATCCCATGGGGTGTGGTGGTGGGGAGGGTTGGGGGGGGTAGGTGTTAAAAATTTTATTAAGTCAGCATCTCTTAATATAACCAGGAATGGGATTAGGAACACAACCCATGTCTCCTGATGGCTAAACCAATGTTTTTAAAGTTTTGTTTAGACTTAAAATTCACTGAGGGAATTAAAAGTTATACACACCATAATTAAAATCACAAAAGTTTGCAGAAGCTACCTCAACATCCTTAAATAGAACAGGTTATTTCCATTCCTCCTTCCCTTTTCTCTCTTTTCATAACCTGTTCTGTCTGGAAATAGGTGAATGCACTAAATAACCTCTATAATTTTCTATATTATATAGACCTTAGCCAAAAAGTATAATAATATGCAAATCCTTGGTCATGCAGGAATTGTGTTTGTCTAAAAATAATTAAGATCCATGATCTGTTGTGGTACACACACACACACACACTGGAATATTACTCAGCCATAAAAAGAATGAAACAATGCCATTTCCAGCAACATGGATGGACCTAAAGATTATTATACTAAGTGAAGTAAAGGACAACAGAGAAAGACAAATATTGTATTATATCACTTATATGTGGACTGTAAAAAAAAAAAGATACAAATGAACTTACAAAACAGGAAAAGACTCACAGATATAGAAAACAAACTTACGGTTACCAAATGGGAAAAGAGGGTAGGGAGAAATTAGGAGTTTGGGATTAGCCAATGCAACCTACTATATATAGAATAAACAACAAAGACCTACTGTATAGCATAGTGAAGTATACTCAATCTTGTAACAACCTATAATGGAAAAGAATCTGAAAAAGAATACATATGTGTGTGTGTGTATAAATGTGTATGTATACATACGTGTGTGTGTGTGTGTATTACTTTGAATTACTTTGCTGTACACCTGAAACACTGTAAGTCAACTATACTTCAATTAAAAAAAGAAGCAAGACCCACGATCTGTATGCTCAAGAACATGACGGCAGCAGAGATGGCACGAGCAGCACTCACCTTCTGGAGGGTCACGGTGTACTGCTCCCATATCAGTTCTTCCATGCCTGAGGCCTGTTTTAAAACAATCAAAGCCGATTTGATTAAAACCACAAACATTTCAATGTCAGAAATAAAACTGTAATTTGAAATGTCTCCATAGAAAGTCCAGCTCACACAGTCTACATACCAAAAAGAGTGGATAATTTTTAGGATCATTATACTACCTGTTTTCAAACACACTCTCGTTCAATGAAATGACCAGCTTAATAACACTAGAAGATTAATGAAATACCTAGTGAGAAATGTACCTCAAAAATCACAAAATATTAAGTGTTAAGCCTTTTTATTATCACTATTCCAGAACATTGGCATGATAAAATCCCTTTTCTACTGTTCTAAATAGATATATATGTTCTTTTTAAAAAATCAATTTGACACAACATTGTAAAATGATTATAAATCAATAAAAAATTAAAAAAAAATCACTCTCCCTTTACTACAATTCACAAAAGAAAAAAAAAAGAATTGTAAACTCAAAAACAAGAAAACAAAAAAAGGAGACAGAATACTTCCAGATCACAGTCATTTCAAAATGAAAACCAGTTTTTAAAAGAAGTAAAACACTAAAGCAACGTGTCTGGGGAAAAGGGGGAGAGAAGAAGCTGGAATAAGCTGACTGTGTAAATGTTTTTTCCCCAATCCCCAAATAAGCTACAGAAGTTTTAAAATAAATCAAAATCAAAATGTGAAAAAAAAAAAATCACTCTCCTGGGGGGAAGGGAACAGCTCAGTGGTTGAGTGCGTGCTTATCATGCATGAGGACCTGGGTTCAATCCCAAGTAATTCCATTAAAAACAAACAAACCAACAAACCAAATTACCTCTCCTAAAAAATAATAAAATTAAATTTAAAAAAAAATCACTCTCCCTTCCTCCTGTCAAAGGTGACCTCCTAGGCAAGTTTTATGCACTTTTATGTCTAAAGGAATCCTTGCCCTGATCACGGAGAGTGCCAAACTGCATCATTTGTGGGACTGCTTGGCCTTTCCTACACCAGTATTGCCAGTGAAGATGATAATCCCTGCATAAATAGATCCCGGGGCTTCAGTTTCTGACAACATTCTAAAATAGATAATCTATACAAACCTGAAAATAGTGAGTATCATTTTAAAAAGTAATACTAATAGTCCATGAAATGCAGGTTGCCTTTGAAAGGAAATCCTTAAAAGCAAGAAATGCGAAAAAAGCGCAAAGCCAGAGAGATAAGGCAGCAGTGAAGCAGGCATTTCAACAGGACACTGGGAAGAGAGAGAAACTGTAGCATCCAAACAGGGTGGAGATCAGATTAGAGTGGATGTATTAGGGAAAAAACACTACCAGACAGATGGAGACAGCAGGGACAGTCACTTGTCTCATTCTTGGCTCTCGGTAGATGGAAATAACTAGTACCTCCCTGGAGAACTCCTGTATCAACAGATCTGTATTCATTCAGGTTTGAGACTGAAATTCATATTCCAGATGTGACCACACCCTCCCCTAGAACGATCACATTCAAAGTGGTTCTGCACTGATGGCACCATCCAGGTGAATAGGCGCAAATGAAATTGTCTCCCAGGAACACACTAAAACACAGGCTTCACAGAATCTCCCAGGTAAGTACATGAGGAACAAGAGTTCACAATTTAAATACACACACAAAACAAGTCACCATTCGTGAGAGTTGAGAGAAACAAAAAAACCTGCAGAATCAAAGACTGTAAATACCGGAAATATCAAAGACAAAAAGTATTTTTCATGTGTTTATCTTAGAAATTAAAAGGAAGAATTCAAAGTACAATGAAAGAACAAGAGAACATCAAAAATGACCACGCAAATCTTTAAAAAAATTTTAGAAATAAAAAATACGATAGTAAAATTAAGTTAAAATGGATTAAATCACATACTACACGTGTGAAGACAATAATGAATCAGAAGACAGATGTGAAGAAATTACCCAGAATACAGCACAAAGCATTTAAAAAATGGGACATATGAAAGAAATTAAGAGTGAGAAAGTCTTACAATGTTTCTAATTAGATTTCCTGAAGGAGATAAGAGAGTATAGGAGAGATGCAATACTTAAAGAGACCGTGGCTCCTCCAGACTTAGAGATTTTTCAGGTTCAAAAAGCCTGATACACCACAAGCAGGGTACATTTAACAAAAAAGTAAGAAAAACACTTTTAAAAGAGACTTGAGAGCAACCAGGCAGTAGAGATTACAAAAGAACAATCAGAACAACAGCCAACTTCAAAACAGCAATAATGAAAGCCTGAAGCCAGCAGGACGGTATCTGTAAAACAGTATCTGCTGTTTCAGGGGGCAGAAAAGACATTTTTTCAAAAAACAAAAATTGGGACAGATCATTACCACAGATAAGCAATAAAAGAACTTCCAAAGGATAAATTTAAGACAGGAAAATAATCCCAGAAGGAAGACCTAAAATCAAGAAGGAACGTGAGTAAGCCTGGACATCTATTGGCTGCGTGCAACCATAATAACAATGTATAACTTGTGAGAGTTATACAAATTAGATAGAACTAAAACACTGGGCAACCCAGCATGTAAATCCAAATGACTTTAAGATGATTTATTTATTCTAAGTATTTTATTCAAGAACAGAGTTAAACTGTTGATTAATTTTGAACTTCACTGGGGTAACCACTATAGGAATAATTAGATACACATCTTCCAAAAATACAGGGGCAAAAAAAAATTTTTGAAGTCAATCTAAAAGAAGCAGGAGACAAAATGAGAAATTTAGAAAAAGGACAAATATAAAACACAAACTATTGATTGTAGAAATGAATATAGTGAAGAGTAATAATAATAATAAATATAAAGACAAATGGTCAGAGTGGATTAAAAACAAGAAGATCCAATTATATGTTTTTAAATACAGGTAAATATTTAGTATATTTAGTAACATCTAAAATGGAAGGACACAAATAAATCTACTTACATAAATAAAAAGCCTTATTGCACTTATTATATATAAACATATGAAAAAGTTGTTTTACATTAAAAATATTTTATATCAAATTTGCCATTCCTCCACTGTTACTAATGAGAGACAGGGGGGTAAAAATCAAAACATGTCCAGATAATGTGCTTCTTTTTTCCCCAGTTAGCAAACTCTTAGGGTTGGGGGGAAAGAGGCTTAGCACAAAAGGCAATTCTAACAACTAATATATTAGGGCAGATAATTTATTTCCTTTGGTAGAACAGGGTTAGGAAAAGGCAATTTTGTTTGTAGAGAAGAAAGATGAGCCAGCCTACTCCTGAGTAGCTGTAACTGATTACTCAAATTGAGAGGAATTTATAATCCTTTAGTTCTCTCCTCCCTCCTTGTACTCATTTTGGGGACATTTCCATGGGTAATACCATCTGGCTCCAGGAGATCTGATTTCTCAGAGAGAGAGAGAGAGAGAGATTAAAAAACAGAATTCAGATCACCTCTAGGGTTAAAGAAAATACCAGAAAAAAATGGTGCCTGGAAAAGGTGAGAACTAGGATCTGTGCTACCAGCACACCTGGAACTGGGTGCTCCGGGAGTGGGGTGGGGCTTGAGGGGTTGGGGGGATCAGCATCCAAAATGGGGTGACGCTTAGATTAAATCAAAGTACATCAACATAATAAAAAACATAAACATTCAAAAAAGGGTCACTGTTTAAATTACATAAATCTCCCCAATTATTTACATTTCTTTCCCATGACCACTGTTTTTCAGTTAAAAAAAAAAAACGAAAGTGGATTTTCAGGTGAGCTTTTCATATCTCACTCACTCTTGTCTCTTATCTCCTAGAACGGTATATGGCACACAGAGTAGGCACTCAGAAAGGTCTTCTTTCCAATAAACTAACAGACAGATACACATTCATTCATCACCGAATTTCTATGATGAAGGCACGGATTTCTGCCACTTACAAGTTTTCTTAAAGGAAATTTCTACCACATCCAGTGGCCCTCTGCTTCTCCCGTAGCACACTTGTGGTGAGCTAAAAACTCAGGTGCCTACAGTCTGGTGCTCCTGAGAATAGTTTAAAGCCATTCCTTTCTGGAATTTTGTTGTCTATGTCTAAAAACAGCATTTTCCAAAGTGTGCCAGTCTATTTTTGAAGGTTAATGGGTTGTGACACAAATCATTAACTACTTAAACATAATATTAAAAGAATATAGTGCTATACACCAAAAACTAATACAACATGGTAAATTAAAAAATATATATATACTTATATATTATTACATAAAGGTATATGTAACATATAAAAGTGATAAATTTTAAATCTTAATTTTAAAGGTGAGGAAGTGAGAGTAAAAATAAATTTTAATAGCCCTTTTGAGCATTAAAAATACCCACACTGTATTTAGCTCACAAAGCTGTGACTTTTTACAAAAGCCTCACAGAAAACCCTCATTCATTCATTCACTTGTTCATTCATTCATTCACTTACTCATTCACTTACTCACTTAAAAATATTTATTGACCACCCATTATGTGCCAGGCATGTGGTTTGTGGCACCTGGAATACATTGGTGACCAAAGCTCATGTCCAAAAAGCAAATCAGAGTCTTCTCTGCATCATCTTATACAGCCTCTTTTCAGGAATACAGAGCACCCTTCACAACACCATGTATTCCTCAGAAAATCAGCTGTAGGGATAGGCTACAGCGTGCAGCAGCTTAGCTGAGAGCTGGGATCACGCTTTTCAAACTGGGCCACTGGGCTCGGGCCCCACCCAACCTGTACTGGACTGTGCAGAGATCAGAGAATTGTTACGAACGCCAGCAAGGAGCAGCTTAGCCTTTGGAAAACTTTACGTGCAAGGCATAGGAAGAGCACACATACATTAGAATTAAAGGTACGCGTATTTACGATGCAGTGATTCCTCTCCTGGGCAGAGGCCCTCAAGAAATATGCCAATATGTGCGCACGAATCCACACAGAGTATTCCTAGCATCAATGTTTCAACAGCCCAAACCTGGAGACAACCCTAATAATCTATCAAGAGCAGAATGGAAAAATAAATTGTGA